GCACTTACTAGTCTCTCTCATTTCGCGTTTTTCTTTCAAGTAAGACAAATTTTGTTGTTTCAGCCGTATCTGTCAATTCATTTAAATTACTCGATGAGTTCTAACCGCCCTCAGAGTGCCCATATTTTAGGGCTCATCCAAAGATACACATGTTAATATCAACCATAATAATATATCATAGTGCTGAGAACCATTGGCGTGTAGTGTTCCAATCTATCGATCTACCATTTGATCGGAGTTAAACAGAAAGGAACCAAGCCACATTGGGATCGAACCGAGATAAAGAGGTTTAAAGTATGGCTCCTGCATAAGACTCAATGTAAAAGATAAACTTCAAGTTCAATTTCTGCAAAATTTGCTCCAACAAAAACTTTGAATTTTCGGCGATAAATAGTAGAGCAGTGGTTAAGTTCAAAACCACTCATAACTCAATTTTTTCCAAAATGTGGGTTGGTTCCTTTCTGCTTAACTCAGTCCATTTAAAGCTCTGAAAAAGGATCGATTATCAGGATATTCGCAACGAACACCTTCTAATCAATGCTGCACCGTAGATTCTAAAAGGGAGAGATCAATACTTATTGAAACCGAAATATCGATGATCTACGCTTTGATACTACAGCAAACTTCACAGGTCGCTTTATATGTCTCTACACTGCCACGCTAAGCAAGAACGCCGTAAATCCGTCAAGATTTTCCCTCGTTTTTTAGAACTTAACACTTTATGTCATAAAAACTGTTTTACTCATGCACCTCAAATTTTCAAGTTAAGTTCCTTGATAGTATTTGCGAAAGAATTCTGTAAAAACATTGTCCCAAGGCACACGAGTTTTTCTGCTATGATACGTTGTTTCCAAAGAATGTAAAATGGCGTTTATGGCGTTTACGGCGTTTTTGCGTTGCACGGCAGTAGGTACAGTCCTCGTCGGTTTCTGCCCAATATTTGTGTGACACTCTCCAACCACCACCAACCACCACCCCCCCTTCACTCCGGACGTTTGACTCTTTTTCCGGCTCGCAGAACCGGGAATAGCAGCAAAACAAATAAAGATGAAAACTAGATAGACAACAAAAAAACGAAACGGGGATCGCGGGGCACGGCCACGCCGAAGCGCACGCACTTTGTCTATTTTAATTAAAAATCTGCATACTTTCCCACAGAATAAATTAAAAGCCGGGGTGAATTAAATTATTCCAGCTCTGTACCTATTCACTCACTAATTAATGCATTTAAAGTAGGAGTTTTTACTCTCCCTCCCCCTTTCTCTCCGCGTCGGAGTCGCAATTTTCTCCCGGCGTAACCAAAATGTGCACTGCGCCCAAGTTTCCTTGAGAGGCTCCTGCAACACCCCCCCCCCCCTGTCCCCCTCCATCTGTCCCTTGTCCTGTCCCACCACGAGGCTCAGAAAACTCGATCAGTTTTAATGAGGCGGATTACGTCTTCGTCCCGTGGCGCAGGATAAGATGCAATGGGATACTTCATCGTCTTCTTCCGTATTTTTTTCCCCCTAGGAGACATCCGGCATGTCCCTGGGTCGTCTCTTGGTGTATAGCGAAATGTGCACCGGGTGATTTCAGATCGCCGAGATTGTAACAAGCGGGGAGGCATGGAGGATCTGATCGGACGAGAAAGCTTCCAATGTATGAAACGAAAATATATAAATGCATGGAAAATTATGTTCAATATAGTCAGCTAGTTATTATTGTTTGTAGACCAAAAAAATGCTGAAAAATAATTAAAAATACACAAAAATATGTATCTAATTTATGGAAAAAACCACACACACACTCAGTCACACACCCTGACTCAGAAGGAATTACCTGCGGGCCGATTATTGAAATTGCTAGACAAAGCTATAGACAAAGAAGACGAAAGAGTTATGGAGGGATCCTATTGGTGGAGGCGGATGGTTACAATGGACAAAAGGAGTAGGCAATAGACTAACTTACGGCAACCCACGAGAGACCCGACACTCCCAACAGTTAGTCCATCATTTACCCCCTTAGTCTATAAGAATCAACCATTTCAACCAACAGGATCGCTCTATACTCCTCATGTCTTCTTTGTCTATAGCTTTTTCTATCAATTTCAATAATCGGCGCGCAGATAGGGTACAAAATCAAAGCTTCACAATGTGTTTTCAGGGTTACCGGCGCGGCGGTCTGGAAAACCGGGAAAGTCAGGGATTTACGGCGACCGAGAAAAGTCAGGAAATTCACACAAAAAGTCGGGGAATTTGATGTTAGCATTTAGCAGAAGTGAGTGGAATTTTAAAGGGGGAAAAATTTAAATGGAATTTTTATTCGATTGCGAGGGAATCCGAAAATCCTGGAGTTGGTGAAAAACAAAAATACCCAGAGAAAAGTAAGGGATAGTCAGGGAATTTGAAGATGTAGAAATTTTGGCAACCCTGGTTTTCTCATCAAAATTTCACGTAAAATTCGAGGCAACTCTGTAAAAACTTCCAAATTTAACACTCAAGTAAGAAAATAGGGGTTTTCCGATGAAGGAAATTTGATTAAGTGATAGTTTGAAACCTAGGAGATTCGACCCGCTGCAGGAACACGCCACGCGCCGCAATGTTTATGCCAACGCCGGGATGCAACTATTCGAACTCTTAGGATGTCCGCGTTGCCTACTTACAAAATTGAAGGCGCGCTGGCTTTCATTACGCTTGTCGTTCTCAAGATTACAATTTAGTTCTTTCTTGATTATGAGATTTGTTAAAGTGGAAATGTCATGCTGCTAAGAATAATTCAAACGTTGATTTGTTCGAGGATTTCTGAAATCTTGACTGTCGACAAGAAAAGGACCCGTTGTTAGGAGCGATTTTAGTCCAATGGACCACTAGACAAGGCACGAATTGAAGCACTCTGATACATGGATGTCCCCTTTTTGAAACCTTACGTAGAGCACGTTTCGGGCAACAAAAATTACCGGAATTAAATCTTAATCAAGATATTAACGTTTTTATTCAGCGCTAGTTCCGAAAAATTTGAATTTCCTGCTCACGAGAAAAACTTCAGTATTCGCGAATCAAATCGCGCTTTTTACAATGTTTTTAGTAAGCTTCTGAATTTAGCAGCGCTCCTTCCCAGCCTTATGTTGTTCAAAGTGTAAACAAGGTACAACAGCCGAGCCAAAGCGCCGAGATTAAAGCGCCATCTTTTAAAATCTGAAGCTTCCATGTGTTGTGGAAGTTTAATTTTAATTCTGACTTGTGGTCTACCCACGAGATTTAAAGGGTGTCCGATGTTTAGGAAATGTCAGTGGTCTGAATCACCTTGTATATTCAGTGCCTTGCAGTACTAGAGATTTTTGCGTTCCCTATAAGGTAAATCCGTCAAAAAAAGCGAAGTTCATCGCGGTGCTGCCGGCGGATAGTCTCAAAACATCGGTTTTAAGCCATAGGATAATCCTGTGTGAGAAGGAAGAAAACTGTATGAGTATTCGCATGTTGCCAAATTTCTTACAATACAATTTTTTTCCATAAATAAGTAATGAATATTTTTCCTTGAATAGTTTTATAAAAAATAGTTTTAAAAAAAATGTAACAAGTTTTTTAGAAATTTCGTATTTAATAAAAAGAAATTTGACAACGTCCCAGGGTCCTTACGGCGCACAGTGGATCGAGTCAATAGGAGAGGTCGGACTTGAAATTTTGGAATAAAACTGCAAATTTTGACATTTATTTCGTCACATTTCAAATTGCAAAGGGTGTTTTTGGAAGAAAATTTTACGAGGAAATCAATGGAACCCCTTTTATAAGCTCAAAGTTTTGTGTAAACGGAGTTATAAGCGTTTAAAGTTTCCAAATGTTGTCCGACGTCTCTGATTGACTCGATCCACTGTAGGGTGTTTTTCCTCAGCGTGATAGAATGAAAGGGATGCGTCCTGTAAATTATATTTTTCAGTGCTTCCTTTTTAGTTTGCAAACCCAACCCTTCGTATGCGAGGCTCCAACTCTTAAAGAGGATGAAACCTGTTTTCCTCGACCCCGAAGCACTGCTAACCTCGACTGAAAGGAGTCGCTGAAGAAATGTCGCAGAGGTGTTTCAACGAGAGTCTGGAACTGCGGATGTCATTCTAGGGCGGACGTTAACGAGGCCAAGAAATCGAAAGTGAAAACCCCCCGTCAACCTCTTGACGCGCTGATTCGTTTAAAATATCTCAAATTTTTTACCTTTTCCCCCTCCTTTCACGCGCCACTCTCTCCGTCCCCTCTCTCCCCTCGTTCTCTGTAGTTTATTAGCTAGAAAGAGTTATTTCGTCATGCCCGTATCCTGCCGTGCTAAGGAAAAACGCCGTATGAACCTTCAGGCGTTGCCAAATTTCCTCTGATGAAATGCGAATTTATTGAGGAAATTGTAAATATTTTTCTTCGAATTTTTGAGACTATTTTGTACGCAATTTAATCTTAAACATCTGAAAATTTTGAGGAAAAATATACATAGATTTCGTCAAAAATACATGTTTTACCCGGGGAAATTTGGCAACTCTCGAATGTTCATACGGCGTTCTTCCCTAGCACGGCAGTATTACACATATTACATTTACGATGTTTCGTCGAGCAGCGCTGATGTTGAAAATTGCCCTATACAGTGGTCAAAATGTATAAAACTAACCCAATCGCCTAATTCTCATTCTATTTTGGACTGAGTCTCCGCCCATTAGTACCTGATTTTATCTACCGTGGCATACCAGGAGCGTAGCACATCGGCCTGCTATCAACTTGAGAGCTTTTTTTGAGCTTGGGAGTTGATTTCAGAGAAAACCAGTGGCACCATCGTGTTTCTCGCGAACTTTTACACCAGAATCAACAGTCAAATCGCAAATCCCTCACACATGCAACATCTCCATTGAGGATGGCTTTGTTTTTGAATCTATCTGTTTCGAGTTGTTCGCAAACGTTCATTTTTTTGCCCTTTTCGCATCTTCTCATCACCTGTAATTCACATTTTCAGGAGGATGTTTGGAATGAATTATTTTCTTTGTGTTGCAGATCGGAAGGTGCCGCCTCACTTCACGATCCCTCCACCGCCGGTGGTGCAGGTGACTCTGGGGGACAGCATCAACCTGACGTGCGTGGCGGCCGGGTCGCCGCTCCCGCTGGTCAAGTGGCGTCGCGGCCCCGCCGAGGACCTCTCGTCCGACGACAACCTCCCCGTCGGCAAAAGCGTCCTCGAGCTGGAGAACCTCAAGGAGTCCGACAACTATACCTGCATCGCCGCCAGCGCCATCGGCAGCATCGAAACCACCACCATCGTCAAAGTTCAATGTAAGTCCCTTACCACGCACGTAGTACGGTGGGTACGATCGAATAATGACCAAAACCCTGCACTTTTTGATTGGAAATTGCCGCTTTCAGGGATCATTCTTATGGTCATAAGAAGCCCTTTTAGAAGGGGAACCACTCTGGGGTCCGTGCAGGAACCAATATTGCGGCCGTTAAAGATGGCCGCCAAGCGTTTTTTCAGCGCGCTATATCTCGGAAACTACGTGTCCGATTTTTGTTTTCTTGGTCTCGTTTTAAAGCTATAATGCTCCTACAGAAGTCTATCTCATAAATTTTTTCGCCTATGGCACATATGAATGGTTATTAGGAAAATTTTGAAATTTCACCCAATTTTCAAGAGCGTGTGTAACGGTGGATCGAGTCAATAGGACAGGTCGGATAAAATTTAGAAACTTCACACGCTCTTAAAGCGGTTTATATAAACTTTGAGGTTCTAAAAGTGGCTGGTTTCCTCGTAAAGTTTTCTTCTTACAGCACTCCTTGAAATTTAAAATGTGACAAAATAAACATCGAAACATACAGATTTAGAGAGATAGCCTATTTATTGAGATACTTCCAACATTGTGTAATGCGTGAAGTATCCCGGTAGGTTTGTAGGCGCCAGTGCGCGTTTCGCGCTAGCAGCACGCCGCGCCGCACAGTGGATCGAGTCGATAGGAGAGGTCGGACAAAATTTAGAAACTTTAGAAGCTTATAACTCCGTTTATACACAAATTTGAGGTTCTAAAAATGGTTTAAGTGGTTTCCTCGTAAAATTTTCTTCTAACAGCACGACAGCATCCCTTGAAATTTAAAATGTGACAAAATAAACATCAAAATATGCAGTTTTAGTCAAAAATTTCATGTCAGACCACTCTAATTCACTCAATTCACTGTGCGACGTATGGCTATAGTTTTATCCACTCCTCCGGGTTCTTTGGATTAAGAGCCTTGAACTAAGAGAGCAACAACAGATATATCAGTTACTGATAAAACAGTCATCGATGATGTCACCTGAGGTTTTAGTTCATGACCTTATTTGGGTATATATAGACTCAGAAATTTTTGCCTTTACTCCAAGTATAGAAATGTTTCACCTTTTGTACCCCGGCTTTTTGGCAAGTTTATGATTGGGTACCACCTAGGATCAGGCGATGGGGTCGTCCTATGAAGGGATGGCAGCAGGGTAGGGCGTAGACGAAAAAATGTCACGTTGTCAGTTGCCCGATAACCTTTAGGAAGGTAGGCACATGTGGCGTTTGGGAGTCGCAGAACGCCAGAGTGCGTCGTAGGAGCGACTTCTATGTATGTGTGTATGTACTTTGGCAATTTTTCACATGGTCACATTTATGACAATATGGTTATGACCATAAATAGGGAATTTTGCAACATATGATAAAGTTGCCTATAAAGTTTAAACTTTTTTATTAAATCTTTCTTTGTTTCAATAAAAATTCACTAAAATAGAAATTTATCAGGTTTTACCTCCTTTGCAATGTCAATGGCTCTGATCCCACCAAAGGTGGACAGCTCCACCAATTATTCTTTCGGTTTTCATATTTCGTCCGAAATCCTCGCAGATATCCACAGATTTGTATATGTACAAGATTGGATGATCAAGGATCGAAGCACATCTATGGTAGTTCAATTCAACTAAGAGAGCATTCATAACATTGTTTTCATGACGAATAGCCCCTAGTTTTATTTTCTTCATACTCACACTTTTCTGTTTTTTCTCTTCCTCAGCATTACCCGGGCCTCCGGCTGATGTACGAGTATCGGAAGTTACGGCTACAAGCGTTGTATTAACATGGAAAGCTCCAGGCCCTGATGATCTTCAGTACTATGTGATCCAGTACAAGCAGAAATCAACCAATCAAGCATACAGTGAGATCTCTGGTGTTATTTCCCTTCATTATACGGTTCGTGGTCTGTCTCCGTACACCGGTTATGAGTTTTTCATTGTGGCTGTGAATTCCCTTGGCAGGGGTCCACCCTCAGCTCCTGTTTTTGTCACCACTGGTGAAACTGGTAAGTTGAGTTTATCCTTTTCTGATTCATGATTCATGAGGTCTTGAATAGGCAGCTATTTTTTAGTCTTAAATCCAAAGTTTCAAGTTGTCATTGCTACTGCTGAGTTGTGTTTGCCAAAAATGTCACCAGGCATCGCATTTTCATGGACATTAATAACCATGCTTCTATCGCACAGGAAAAGTACAGATAAACTAAAAAGCATGGATATTAAAAATTGAGCACCAAGTATGGGAGACGTATGGGATGTATGTAAGAAGGTGCAAATGCATTGGATTTTTGCGATAAATTATAAAAATAGCCATGAAAGTGTGCAATTTCTCTACATAGTTACATGATATTTTGCTCTCACAAAATCTCAATTTTTCTCAAATGTTTCGTTCCTTCCTCCAGCATTCTATGTTCATTGTGCTCGTTTTTGAATATCAAAGATCGTTAAAAAGCATACTAAGAAAACTATTAATGGTCAATGACTGACAATTTATCTATTTATGTGTTAGGTAACGAAATTCTGTCTTTCTCAGAGTTTGATGTGAGTGCAAAATGAAGAGCAAGCGAGAAAAAGACAATATGAAAGCAAGAATTTCAGGAAATCCGAGGGAGTGAGTAATTTTAGGGGTAGTTAGGTACAAGTTAATGGAAGGTAATTAAACAGCAAGGGAGCTTCTAGAGGAGAATAATTTTTTGAGATGTATTGGAAAATAAGAAAAAGCAAGGATTGATGATGAGATACCACTAGACACCCTAAACATGCTGTTTCGTCGTATGGTATCACGTATCAAGTAAGATGGATACTTTAGAGGCTTCCTTAAGCTTTTGAAGAAGTTTTGCTCCTCTCATTGGTTCCATTGTTCTTCTCATGAAATTTTTCATGTGCATATTGTTGTTCGTCTCTCAATGCGTCTCCACAAGGCTATGCTTTAAAAATAAATGGTAATGACTAGAATAATATTAGAATTTAACTCTGTGGTTCTTGCCAAGTACAAAGTAGTAGGATTTTTCAGGGTAAATATTCCTGAAAATTTTCTTTCAATTTCTTCATTTGATTTGTTTTTTTTTCCTCAAATCAGAAAGTAATACAAAGAAGCATTTTTTCCTAATGCGCCTCAGCCTTTCTGAGAGTCGTTGATTTCCCTCTGAAAATTTTTGAAAGGTATTTTCCTACCATCATCCTATTTTGACTCATGAACTCAAGTTTTTGAAGAAATTTTGAATTTTATAATATCCCTTCAGAATTGTCAGTTTATTTCACGGTTTTTGTAATAATTTTTCATGCCTTATCCATTTTTGGAGTCATCTTTTATTTTGTTGATCATTAATGTAAGTAAAGTTTTTGTATTTTGAAGTAACAGTTTATGTATTTTTGAAGACTGTCGCACTCTTTGGTTTTTGTTTGAGCACATTTTTGTGTTTTGATCGATTTTTGATTTTTGCCATTTTTTCGTGTTTTGTACAAACAAAATTGATTCAACTTTAATTTTTCCAATCCTTTTATCCTCTCCTCTGTCCTCACATAATTTGCATATTTTTGGAAATGTGTTGAGTTGTCCAGTGTATCAGATTCGCTTTCAGATACATTTATGCTGTGTGCGGAATTTCATGGTAACTGTAGCAGTCATTCGACATCCTATCTTATATCTCCTCTTCCATCCCACTCCATTGAATTATATTCAAATCTGTATGTTTTACAGGAAATCATTTCACCAATTTCTTATTTTTGTGAAAAAAGTATTTACGATTGTCTCTCCTCTTCTGTGGAAAGGTTGAAGCGTGATCTGAATTTTCACAGATGGCTCTCAAATTTTTTTGTATCTTATATCTGCCCCTCTTTGGCCGTTGCTTTCACCTGTTGATTATCATTGTTTGCTTTTGAAGAGAAAATTTATACTATTCCACTTTTCAATTCTCAAATTTCCGCAATATTCCGCTGTCTTCTCTTCTTCGTGCATGTTTTTTCTTTCTTTCTCTCTTTCAATGGATATTTGTGAACTTTTCCTAATATTTTCATGAGATGAGTCTCTCTTGTCTTGAAGAAACTTACCTTCAAGGTTATGGATATTTTTTTAATATTTTTTTTTATCTTTTAGATTTGATTCCTTCCTTACTCCGTGTTCTATGTTTTCTTTTGATATTATAAATTGAATAGATTCATAAGTTTTTCTGTTTTATTCTTACTCTATATTTAGGAGACTATAAGGTTCGACCTTTCTTTAAAAAAAATCAAAAATTTGTATGTTTTGAAAGATACTTTTTCATTTCAGCATATTACTAAGATAAAATAATCCCAGAAGTTTCAGTTTTTCAGTTTTAATTAAGTTACAAAAACAAAAATTCAACTTGTACATATGTATGGTTTGTCTAACTTTTTGGTGAAGGGATTCGGTAACTGTATCAGAAAAGAGGGTGTTAAGACACCAGAAAAACTTCAGTTACTTTCTACTTTCTTTTTCTTTTTTCAATAAACAAATAAAGTAAGCTTTTGGGTATGATAAGGGCACTTCTCTGTTACAAAGTTGAAGAGGCAACGCCAATTTTTTCTCCTTTCTTTCTTTCTTTTTTTTTGTAAGGTAACTTTTTGTCGATTTTACCTGAAAATTTTGCACAGGATATCATAAAATAATGAGGATTAGTCTGTAAATTCACCTTCCAGTATTTACTTTTCCCTGAAGGTGGAACTGTTTCATAGGAGATTTTGAAATGATGAAACTGAGAAGTGCCCTTCTTGCACTCGATTTCTGAATAATTTGTAATGAATTTTCTATGCACATTTGTCTTATCTACCTAACTAATGACTCTCTTGATCTGTCCTTTTGCATAGCTGATTCTTCTTTTGGAGGTGCAAGTAAGTAAATTTCAATACTGCTTTATCTAATTTTAAGTAGTTAAGTAATTTAGGACACTTTTTAAGATTATTCCTAGATACGAGGGGCGTTCAATAAGTAAGTATCCCCCCTCTCTAAAATCCATTAGAATGGACCAATTTTAAAAAAACTTGCACTCAAAATCTTCCTTAGGATATTTTGAGTTCAACAAAACAAACCGCAACAAAATCGGACCATGTCCGGCCGAACACGAGCCGTTTGAACGCGCCGAAGTGCTCGACGCTCCCGCCGAATCTGCGAGGATTTGAAGTCCGCTACAGGAGAAGAGCCTCTCTGCCAAAGCCTCAGTCGTTCATCACTGACGAAAAATCAAAGAAATTTTTGTAGAATAAGGGGCTTACCTCACTTCTTCACATAACCAGCTCGATCCAAGCAAGTCTGATACTGAGACTAAGAGAACAGCTTTTGGATGCCTCGCGCGTGGAAGTCTTTCAGCTGACCGGGGATGAAAGACTTCCACGCGCGAGGCATCCAAAAGCTGTTCTTCTTCCAAAAGCTCTTCTCCTGTAGCGGACTTCAAATCCTCGCAGATTCGGCGGGAGCGTCGAGCACCTCGGCGCGTTCAAACGGCTCGCGTTCGGCCGGACATGGTCCGATTTTGTTGCGGTTTGTTTTGTTGAACTCAAAATATCCTAAGGAAGATTTTGAGCGCAAGTTTTTTTAAAATTGGTCCATTCTACTGGATTTTAGAGAGGGGGGATACTTACTTATTGAATGCCCCTCGTAATTGGGTCTATGGACAAGATATATTCATATCTTAAAGTAGCATTACACTATTTGTAACCTTTGTAACATTTCATTAGAATGCAATATGTAAACACTTTAAAAACTCAAAACATCTACATAAGACTGATAAATGGACGTATTTATGCTAAAAGGAACTATGTGCATAGGGTTTGCGTTTAACATATTTCCTTTCAGCATCATAAATACGTCCAAATATGAGTGTGCTCCTAACATTGATTTATTAGAGGATAGATTATGCAATTCATAGGTTTTTATCAAAGAGAGTGAGCGTAAATTTCATGCTTTTACAAAGAAAGCGAGTTCTTTAATGATTTGATTCAGACTTTATCCATGGTTACATGACTGACAAAACTGTTTGGCTACATCAGGATACTTTTGCTTATCTCTAAGAAGGATGACCATAGATAAAATGGTTTATGGTGCAACGCCCTTTTGAAATCACTGCATGAGAATCAAAGCTCCAGGAAGAAACATATCCATAATTTAAAATTATTTTTAAAATGTCTGTCTAGGTATAAGTGTAGATGAAACTCTAAATGTTTGAAATTTAGAGTCCCAATTTGTCCACAAAATAAATGAAATATTGTAATCCTTACACAATTTTGAGAAATTCAGACTGAAAATTGGGATATTGCATATATGAATAGTTGCAATTCCTAGAGGATCAAGGAGAAGCCATTTTACATTTTTGACCATGCCTGCACATGCATTTCTTGTAGTTCTTTCTTCTCTGATACAATATCACCTGAATTAACTATAACTCATTCTTAGTTGAGACTAATAATAGTTCGCAGCTTAGGTAAAGGGAATGTATCACCTAGTGGGTATTCTTGCTTCTCTTTAAATTTATTTGCGCAAGTTATCTATTGAAACTTCATCACTTCTTCATTGATTGACCTTAATCCATGAAGCCTTGTGTTCTGGCGTCATTTATCAATTGATGCTACTCCAGACCTTATCGTTGAAAAATTGGCTCTTTGCTCTCACGGAATGTATTTTAATTGCTTCTGCAGAACCTCATTGTCTCTTTCTGTACGGTGCCTTGGTTTTTTTTCAAAACTCTTGTCTAGTCTATAGTCTTTTATGCAGATTTTGCAGGGTTCTTTTTTTGGTGTAAGCCTTATCTTCTATCTGTATATTTATAAAAAGATGCAATTTATTGCGTCGGTGAGATCTAGAGATCTACTGAGCCACTTCTCACAAAATTTTCTCTGGAAAGTAGCGGTCCATCTGAGGATTTGTCAAATTCAATCAGATTCGAGCCTTTTACATTTCCCAATTATTTCCCGACCCTTTTTCTCTCTGCACAAAGGAAATTCTGTGAAAACTTCAAGAAATGATTTCCATTTGTTCTCTTTAAAAGAAATAAAATCAGATCGGAGATTTTTGAACACTGCAAACGAGGTAGGTGGTCTGTTAGTTTCACCGTCAATATTTGTTTTACGACCTGTCAAACGGTTTTATATGACCTCAGTTTATTCTAAAAAAAATGTGTTGATTGTCTATTGCGCAGAACCTGGAACCGCTCCGAAAAATGTGCAAGTGAGGCCTCTCAGCTCCAGTACCATGGTCATTCAATGGGACGCTCCTGAAACACAGAATGGACAAATCACGGTACCTGCATATACACTCTCTCTTTCAAATTTATCGCAATATTAGTATTTTTTTAAAATAAAGCTCCCCATTATCCTCAGTAGTGAACCTGCCGACCAATGATGTACCATAACTCTACCTACTCCAAATGTAGAGCCCAGGTACAAATTCTCATATCTGGTTTCAAAATTAAGGTGTACTTCCCTTACTTGTAGAAATTTAAAGACTAAGGTGCCCCTATCAGAATGGTTAATTTGGATGCCAGATTTGGAGGTATAGTGTATAATTCACAGGTTAAATACCATGTATTGGAATGAAGGAATACAACTTTTCGAAACGGATTTTTTGGAAGTTAATGGGTCATGATGAGGATACAAAAAAGTTAAAAAATTCAAAAGAATAAAGTACGCATGATAGGATGATTAGTATTTTAAATAGCTGTGTGGTTGTGGCCTGAGTGCTAGTTCTTGCAAATATTTGCTAGTCACTACATGCATACGTAAACTTTATTTTTAATTATGGTTTCCAGGGTTACAAGGTATACTATACACTGAAACCTGAAATGCCAATGTCCTCTTGGGATTCACAAATGGTGGATAGTAATGAGCTAACGACAATCAGCGAACTCACCCCTCACGCAATATACACCATCCGAGTCCAGGCGTTTACCAGTGTTGGCCCTGGTCCGTTATCAGATCCTGTTCAAGTTAAAACACAGCAAGGAGGTATCATATTCATGTCTAGTTTTACATTTCAAGTTCTTGTCTCTATTTCTGACTATCAATCACTGCAACAACATCTATGCACTCCTGATAGTGTTGAACAATGGAGGATGTCACCTGTTTCTTCTGTCATTGAAGTTCATTATTTTACATTCATTTATAAATTATATTTATTTATTACTTTTTTATCAAGTTTTGGACTTAGAAACCCAAAATATTAGTTGTTTAAAATGAAGCAATGGCAAGGAATTTTTGCAGGGTCATGATACACTTTTGGTGACACAAAATTTAGTGAAAAAACCAAAAATTTCAAAAAAATATTCCTAAGGGGTGAAAAAGCTGAAATCAGCCAGAGTTTTTTTGTTTAACTCAAAAGGAATCAGTATAAAAGGTCGGTGATACGTGTTGTGAAGAGCTGATCTCAGCATGTGTGTGAGGAGAGTTCTATGAATTTTTATATTTGATGTGTTGATTCAACCCAATTTCGAGCACTTATCACTACCTACTAGAATATGTGTGTCATTTTATTATGGAAGCAGTAGTTGATTCATATCAATGCTTTATTTCAGTGCCAAGTCAACCTCAAGATCTAAATTACACAGATACTGGAGAAACAAGTGTAACGTTGTCCTGGACAAAACCGTCTCACTCGGAAGGAAATATCATCAGCTACGAACTGTATTGGAATGATACCTATTCAAATGTAAGTATATATTTAACATGCATGCCTCATTAGGCTCACGGTCTGACACAGAAGTATCAGTAAGGTGCTTCAAAAGACTCATAGGCCTGACCCTGAAAAAATTGTGTCAGATACTCATGATAACTAATGACAAGCTCGCAATCAGTAAACTAATAACAGCAAACTGACAGTGACTACTTGCACCTTTTTGGCTATCAACATTATTGACCTGGTTACTGAGTTTTTCCATTAGTTTGCTGTGCTTTTGTGGCGCTGCGAGAACACAAATTGTCACCTTCCTGCTAAGGTATCTCAAGCGCTTTTTGTTACGAAACTTTTCTAACTTGCTCAATTTTTTACAGAAAACTAATAAACAGGGTAACTTGGCAATTTTACCTAATATTTCTTTAATCATCAAAATTGAATCGGGATGTGCAAAAACCGCTTAAGTCCATTTTTCCAGTCTTCAGTTTTTTTGAGTTGATAATACTTTTCGGAGTTAGATGCAACCCTGAAAGTGGCATTAATACGCATCTCCGGGTTACTTTAATCCCAAAACGAGTCCTTTCATCACTTTTACGGTTGTATCACTCTTAAGTAGTATGAACTCAAAAAACTGAAAACTGGAAAAATGGACATTAGCGGTTTTTGCACGTCCCAATTCAATTAGATCCTGAAATTTTTATGAAAGTGTGCAAAAGTTTTAGAGAAAACATCAAAACATATCAAGATGTCAGAAAACAGTGTTTAAGCATAAATGGCACTTGTGACACTTAGGCTTGAAAGTGATGACGTGTAACTAAGCATTGGCAATGATATCTAAATTCATGAATATTAAGTGTAGATTGTGGAAGGTGGCCCTAGAACACTTTGACTACATTTTGCAATTTGGAACTATAAATTCTAGCCTGGTTTAAAAACAACGTATGTGCCATTAGTTTCCTTATGCACACAAGTGTTTTTCCAGAAGAGCCAGAATTTATAGTTCCAAATTGCAAAATGCAGTCCACTTGAGCATAGGGTTGAACTGATCAAACTATGAAACGTACCTACTTTCCATAATGATGTATAAGGATATTTATTTGTGGAATCAATGTTACCTGTACCAGCGTAAATTGAAAGATATCAAAACTAAAGACAGAGTTGGATTTCTGGCGAAGATTGGCTGGAATCTCAAAGAGAGAACGTATCAGGAATGAACGTCTCTCGGAGATAATGGGCGTTAAGGGGACAATTGTGCTTGATATCATGACCAAGCAGTTGGTATGGTATGGGCATGTGCAGAGGATGACTAATACCAGGTTGCTGAAGAAGGTGTTGGAGTGGGTCCCTTCAGGTAGACGTCGGAGAGGGTGTCCAGCCAAACGGTGGGTATAGGGCATCCGTCAAGAGATGGAGAGATGCCAGCTTCCGGAGGATCTCTACCATGACAGATTCCTGTGGCTGGTAGGCGTCGCAGAGTGCCCTAACAAGGCATAAAATTTACTTATATATACATACAAAACCAAAAAGGACTCTATTTTATTTGTCATGTACAGAATCATATACTTCATTTTAGTTTTTTCAATGATAATTTCTTTTTTCTGTAGGAAAAGCATCATAGGAGAATCTTAAACGCCTCTGCCTTAACTTACACACTCACAAATTTATATCCGAATACTTTATACTACATCTGGCTGGCGGCAAGATCACAGAGAGGAGAAGGTGCTACAACACCTCCTATAGCAGTCCGCACAAAGGAGTATGGTAAGTCCAAACTTTCGAAAAATTGTAAAAATTCAATGAGCTGGGTTAAAAGGTAGGATTTTGAAAATTACTCTCAAAAATGCACCGTTTTAAACTGTCTGACATAGTGTTGATTCAAGCATGCTCTAAACACTTCTGACTATGAGCACCATTTTTTCACATTTTTGTACGTCTGAACTAAATGGAGGAAAGTTTTAAAGATGTGAGTTGAATTTGATCCTCTACATATTGGTATTATTCAACAAGTCGTAAGTTGATGTATGTTCTCTTCACTATAACAATAATCAATCATGATTCACCTCTTAAAAGATATAAAATAAGATGGAACCAAATTTTTCGCAAGTTATTCATGTTTTCAGTAAGTTCATGAGAATTGGAGAACAGAACCGCCCATGAAGGGGAATAAAACGATTCACCCAATATAGTTGAAGTTGATATCATCAATCATAAGGTGTCCGTCTTCAAAGAGAGTTTTTAAATGAAAAACGCATAGTCAATATTATGTACTTTTGTACACTTTTGTTTTTTTTTTAATCAAAACTTTCTTTGTAGACAGATTCTTTCTATTTGGACATGTCTGAGTACATGTGTGACTCTTCCTTTTTGGGTATTTTGGATATTGTTGTCCAAATGTTTTCAGTTAACCTTCTTGTAAAAAAAAAAAACAATTGTTAGAAAATTGTTCAATTTTATACTCCCCAAAACTTCATAATTTCAGCAAGAGCTTTGGACAATGAATTTAAAGATTTTGAAAAACTATTGCTAATGCAATAGTAAAAGATTGTGGGCTCTGAAAGTTTGTCATAGTCCATCGTTCATATTCAACTTTCATTAATTGTTGTCTTTGATCTGACGAAAGAGCGTAGCTTCATTTCTAGCGGAGCCTTGTTATGAGTATATACCTACAAGGCTCAGAGTCATTTATAAGGAATTGAGTTACACTCTTTGTCAGCTGGGCGACAATTTGAAAACCTTCATCATTTGAAGGTCTGCGTGCAATCAAGATATAAGGTATTGTATTCACACAAATGGCAATTCGTGAGTGTAAGCACAGTTTTTGAAGTAGAAGTCTGTGCACCTTTAATTTCCAATTGCACTTTAAAGCACCATGCACCCTCTGTTAAACTAGTCTGCACTAATTCAATCACCAAATTTTCATGTGTTCTTTTGTGTCATAATGTGTTAATCTGCACAATTCCCGTCCTCTCAGTTATAAACCCCCTTTTTGTCCTTCCCCTCCCCTTTTTATTCTCCATAGTAGATTTTTATCTTTTTTTACTTCTGCCCCCCTTATTAAAATGGTAAAAATTCTCTGGTTTTTTTTTTTTTTTTTTTTTTTTTCAGGATACTTTTTGCCCAGTAATACATTGTCAACTTATACAGGGTGAGCCAAAAGTCCGTCCCACCCCTGCTAACTTTTGAACGAATTGAGGTAGGGTAATGAAACTTTGGGAATGTTCCTATCTCAAAGGGGACCATCTTTTGGGGGGGGTCAAAATTTTGGTCCCCCCTCAGGGAGGGCGCGGGGGGCCCCCAACTTTTTTTTTTCAAATGACAACCCCTATCTGGTGATACATCATTCGAAAGAGCATAAAAAACTAAGAATTTTGGCGCAAACCGCAGATCAATATCTTAATTTTTGACCGAGTTATGATAGGTCAAAGGTCAAATTTGACCTATTTTTAAAAAATCATAACTCCGGTTCAAATTATCGTAAAGAAAAAAATAAAACGGGAAAATCTACCAAATTGTGTCCGCTTTTAAGTAAAAATTGCAGAAATCACTTCGCTGTAATTTTAAGGGGGGGCTCGGACCCCCAAATACGTCAATTCAAAGGTCATTCAATTTTCCCGCGGAAAAAAGCAATTTCCCCTAGATTTGCCTCCACATTATCTCAGTAAGGTCAAAATTAGTTCAACATTACGTTGGCAAGTCCCCAAATTTCGGGAAAAGTTTAAAAAAAAAGAAATTTAAGGTGATTAAATTTGACCGTTTAAATTTCGTTTTTTGTTAACTTTTCCCGAAATTTGGGGACTTGCCAACGTAATGTTGAACTAATTTTGACCTTACTGAGATAATGTGGAGGCAAATCTAGGGGAAATTGCCTTTTTCCGCGGGAAAATTGAATGACCTTTGAATTGACGTATTTGGGGGTCCGAGCCCCCCCTTAAAATTACAGCGAAGTGATTTCTGCAATTTTTACTTAAAAGCGGACACAATTTGGTAGATTTTCCCGTTTTATTTTTTTCTTTACGATAATTTGAACCGGAGTTATGATTTTTTAAAAATAGGTCAAATTTGACCTTTGACCTATCATAACTCGGTCAAAAATTAAGATATTGATCTGCGGTTTGCGCCAAAATTCTTAGTTTTTTATGCTCTTTCGAATGATGTATCACAAGATAGGGGTTGTCATTTGAAAAAAAAAGTTGGGGGCCCCCCGCGCCCCCCCTGAGGGGGGACCAAAATTTTGACCCCCCCCAAAAGATGGTCCCCTTCGAGATAGGAACATTCCCAAAGTTTCATTACCCTACCTCAATTCGTTCAAAAGTTAGCAGGGGTGGGACGGACTTTTGGTACACCCTGTATGGCAGCAATACAAAATGTACGCTGTTCATAGATGCAGTTTTTTGTGGTTTAGTTAAAATTTACTCATGAAGGAGTATTTGCATGATCGAATAAAATTGTTCGATTCATATTATTGCCAAGGAGACAATTGATGACCCTCTAACTGCTCAATACGATAAGCATCACGAGATATGAATCATTCTTTGATTTTGTTTTTTTTATGTTTATTATTTCATCATTTATTTATTTACCTTTTTCCCCCACTTGAACTTACCAAGTAATTGTTTTTCTTTTTTGCATATCTTCTCCCATTTTAGTGTATTATTTACAGGAGAAATAATGGAAGTAGGTTATTTATTTTTTTCAAAATCGCCCAAGTTTTATTTTCAATTTACAGCAGTGGCGTGGCGTGTTTTGCGATGTATCAATTGATCTGCCATTTAAACCTAAAGAAAAGGATCAATAAACAGGGTGTTTTCACTAAACACCCTAGTAATCGATTCTTTACCATAGCTTCAAGTGGGGAAATATCTATAATCGATCATTCACGCCTTGCCACCGGTTTACAGTCCTGATCATACTCCCTTTCCAAATTTTTTCTCGTTTTGTCCTCCTTTTTATGTTTACCTCATGTGAAACAATTTAGTTAGTTGTTAAAATGTAAGAATGGGTACTTGCAGTCCCCGGAGCTCCACCGCAGAATGTATCAGGGGAAGCCACTGGCCCAACCTCTATCCGAGTGAGTTGGGAGCCACCGCCTGTCGACCGTACTGGGCGCATTGTGTACTACAAGCTACAGTACGTAGATTCCAGTAGACCCGATTCCGAAGCTGACACTGTTACATTAAATGGAACATCATTTATTTTGGACGAATTAAAACGCTGGACTGATTATCGGATCTGGGTGCATGCTGGTACCTCTGTAGGCGATGGGCCTGCATCCAGTCCCATCACTGTCCGAACTCATGAAGATGGTATGTTAGATTTTTACTTTCATTTAACTTTTGCTACCAAGAACAAATGAAACGATTCTGTTGGTTTTTGTGCGAACAACCTATCAAAAGAATTTGACTAATTTTGCTTCAACTAATCTGTTGAGTGAGGAATCAGGGTGTTTGAGGGAAGCTCATCGTTTGATGCATGTTTAAAGCTTTGCAATTTCATAACAGCAATCGCAAAAAAAAAAAAAATATTTCTTTTCTCAAAGGATTTCTCCTTTGACTCTTCCCAGCTATTTCTATCTGGTTCTGGCCATCAACATCTTTCTTCTACGTCTTTCTTTCATTTTTCCTATGTTTAAGAGAAAAAACAGAATACATTTTACTCAGATTTCTTGGAATCAATCAGTTGTAGTATAAGAAATTTTAGTCCCAGAGATGGATTAACTGCACTTTTCATCATTCTGAGCTTTCAAAAAATTCGAGGGAAGCTGTCCTCATTGAAAACATTCAGAGCTTCTGTATGAGATCAATCTTAAGAACTTAATTAGCAAAAAAGAAGAAGAACTTTATCAGTGCTGCCTAAAAAGTTGATTTGCGATCAATGTAATCTCTCCTACTGGAGCTTTCTTTCAACCTGATCAGCAGTTAGGTTCATTACAACATATCCATCCTCTCTATAAAATCTAATCAAGCAATTGGTAAAGCACTTTAAGTCAAATTAATACAAATTAATTAAAAATGAAGCCTAATTTGGGTTTAATAACTGTTATCAAAACAAAAAAGCAATGAGGGGAGTTTATAATTTTGAAGAGGACTTCTCATAAATACTATTTCCAAGACATCATCACAGAATTTCAACACATTTGAAGTCATATTGCTCCGAGCAAAACATTGAATGTGCTTTGCAATGTCAATGACCAAAAATTGTCCTCAACCTAATACATGTATATGTTACGAGTAATGAGCAGGATTCAAACATTGTCAATGATCCCTAAAGTTTTTGGGCAGTGTTAGCAGTTCCCGATTGCGACTGAGCATCGTCTACCAAAGACGGAAACGAGAACACAAATTTAAAAGTGAAAGCTCACAAAACACTGAATTCCGAAAATTCATTGTTTTAATTGAGACACTGATGGAAGCAGTCACAAAAACATATTGCTCGTTTTTAAAACAAATGTTGCCCCGTAGCAAGCGGGACTTGTTGACGATGACCAGGCATCTTTGACAACATCCAAAATTCGGTTTTGCCTGCAGCATATAGGTTGCATAAAATATGTTGTTTGGTACTTTAGTTTGTGCAATCAAAATTGGGGGATGAGAAAAGTCTGGAATGCCACTAATGTTACCGTTATGGACCCATACATTCAAGGAGAAATTTTGGCATGGTTCCTCATGGCAGTTTTTTCCCATTACCCCTCCGTGTACCATTCAAAGTGTTCTCGACTTGTTTTTTACCTCCAATTTGGATCTTGAGGGCTATTGTTATTGTGGAAATTTACAGCACTAAGGAAGCAAGACCATGGTTATCTGACGCAAACTTTGATTCGCAGTCTGCAAATCATGGAATACTCACAATGAGGCTAAACTTGTTCTGTTATTTTCTAGACTCAATGGTCATGCTCTTAATTCAAGGCGTATACAAAAAAACGAAAAGTAGGAATGATGAACTATCAATTGGGTTCATTCCTACTTCCTTTTATGTCTACATTTTTTATTTCTCTCTCTTAATTTGCCCTTATTAAGAAAGGAAAGTAAAGTAAAAGGCCTACTACCTAAGGTCTGTTTTGCTACCATTTCTCGGATGAGGGTCCGAAGAAGAGGGACAAGGTAGAATTTCAAATGAGCAGTAAACCAAAGTGATTTTACTCAACTGTGTCACATCCCTTTTTAAGTTCAAGTCATTGCTCACGAAAATCTTATCAGTATGCAAACATCCCAGTAGATAGGCCAGAGATGAGATCACTAAGAGAAGCTTTAAGCTTAGTAATGAAAATTTGTGCCCACACTCTAGTCTTGAAGGATATTGAAGTGATCTCTATTGGAGATAATTAGGAGGGCATCTCTAATCAGAATAATCTTAGGAACTCCATAAAATTTGATTCCTAGCAATACTCAAAGAGAATGGACACAGCCGATTCCATTTCTCATAATGGGGTCTTGTCTGTATTTTGGATCTAAAAATCTGCCAAAAGCACAAGCAAGAATTTCTTTTATTATTCGCTAATTGCCAAAGTGCATACATCACAGAAACTATCATTCAAACTTGTTTTCTATAAAGGTCATCCCAAACTGATTTCAGTCGATTGATTGCAAGAAAACCATTTTAGCTATCACGATATTGATTGTATTCAATCAAATAAGTGAATTGTAGCCAAAACTCATTGCTATTAAGTCAACAAGCCCACGAAGAACTCATATGATTATGCACTCACTGATTATCAACAACTTTTGGAGATGTTCAAAAATTGTCCTTTCCAGAATTTTGGCATAACTCTCCTTTTCGTGAACTATGATTGGATGAAGGGTCTCTTTTTTATAAATCTCCAAAAAACTGTTGTAACCGGGTGAGCCTCTAATCATATAAGCTTTTCTAAGACTTATTAAATACATAAGACTACAAACTACAACCTTCAAGAAACTGCGCCTCAATACCTAGCCAAGTTTCATCAAAACTAATCAACTGACCATTATCTTTGAACGACCTTTGTATCAAAATTGTTTGATAAGAGTACAGTTTTAAAATTTCTGTGTCACTGCTAATACTCAACTGCCTGCTCTTTCTCTTGAGTTTTGCAGAGGTATTAAGGACCTCAGCGGGGCGATTATTGAAATGATATCAACTGTATGTCAGCGCTTTGTCGTGTCGCGCCATCGACTAAGCAATTGCTTAGTCGATGGCGCGACACGACAAAGCGCTGACATACAGTCGATATCATTTCAATAATCGCCCCGCTGGAAACTTATTGATCCGTCTATCAAAGCATGATGGTTCTCTCAGATTTAAGAATGAAGCAAACGGAAACTAATTCAAGCTCATGATGTTTCATTTTTCATAAAGTTCTCTCCTAGTATTTTAATTTTATTCCAACACTTATTATGTATGACCATCCATACTCTTGTGTCATCGTCGAACATGTTACCAAGTTGGTCTCTGATTTTAATGTAACTTCAAAGGACATCTGAAACTCTCCTTGTTTTTCTCATATTTTTTTGTTTTTTTTATTAATTTTCCTCCTTGTTTATGTAGAAATTTTCAAGTCCTAGTCAAGTTTTTTCATAATTTGACCGTTTCTTTTGACTCACAGAGTTATTCCTGTCATTTAATTTTCATTCCTAAGACCACTTTTACATCACACAAGGTCTTTCTCTGTTCACAGCAGAAACATAATAACCTTATTTTAGACTTCAGGTATTTTTCAGATGCAATATTCTGTCATAGAAAATTCAATATTACGTTGTTCTCCATAGTTTTGGAAAAGTTGATCTCATTGCTGCAACCTTATAGGTAAAATAAATTGCTCAAAAAGGATCAGATCATCATTTGTAATAGGAGAGTCTTCAAAAGTAAAATCTACTTATAATGACTTTACCTATGAATTTTTCTGTGGACAGTAGAACAAAGGATCTATGTCTACAAATATTTGCTGAGTTGAAAGATTGTGACCAAAATAGCCTGATTATACCGAAACTGCAATGCAAGGAAAATAATGAACTATGACAAGACATTTTAGACTAGATAAGCTGTCTATCAGTCTGACCTTGTGTGATCAGTATCCTTTTATTTAATTAAGGAAGTATGATTTGTCCCGTCAGCCAGCACCTTGCATGCAAAAGCTCTGTTTTGTCGCACATTGTTCACATTTTTCAACTTATGCCGTGCACAATCATGTTTTTTACGTCAAGCACCTTTTATCTCTGCGGCACTACGAGTCAGTTGTTTTCAACCAAGGTTTTTTCTCAAACTGCTTGTCGTTACAAAATTCGTCAAAATTCTGGAGATTTTGTTCACCATCATTTTCTCTAGGTTGGGCGCTTTTGGTATCATTATGTTTCTTTTTCTCTTCCCTTTCTTTAACTGTGCCGACAATTTTCAAACAGTTTTCTCCCTCAGTTCTATCTGCGTTTTCCACCACGCTTCAATTCAATTTTGAAGTGAAGAAGACTTGATTTTTATTTTTTCTTCGCCTCCTTCTTTCTTTTTCTTTTTTTGGTTTGAAGCCCTTGACTAATTAGTGTCATTCCTCAAAATAATATTCCTTCACAAATCTCTTAATCAAATCTTGTTTGGAGTTTTGATAATTGGAATTTCATGAAAACTTTGCCTTGTGCTGCTCATGGCTTCCTGTACCTAATTTTGTCAAAGTTTTTCCTTTTTGACATTCTTTTTCTTGTTTTCTCTCCTTCATTTTTTTTCTTTTCTTTTTGGTCAGAAAATCTTTTTCAAAAATTTTGAATGACTCGAAATTTGTTTTTTGCATTGGAAAGCCACCAGTCACTTTTTGCTGGTACTTTTTCAAGTTTTTCAGAGCATTTTGATAATAATGGTCGTTGATAACTGAATTTTTTTCACTTACTGAACCAACACATATTTTTTTCTAATTAAGACAATTTGTTTTTTGAAATTTTTGATGCATTAATTTTCTCGTATGAGAATATTAAGGTTTTTGTGTCTTTTTTTTCTATCGCTCTATCTCGCTTTTTTGACAAACTTGTGGCTTCAGTTGGTATCACGAGTGAGTATTGTCTTTTTGAAAAGTTTTGAATGTCGTAGAATATCTAGGGCTAGCCTAGATAATTTTATTGAATTTTTGATATACTTCCTCCTCCTTTTTCTTGATTTTTTTCTCTAATTTCTCAGCAGATTATTTTAGTCGACTTTTTTTCCCTCTTTCTCTGAAGTTTTTTCAAATTTACTCAACCCATTTTTCACCCTAAATTCTTTACCGGACGATCTTGAGAAATAATTTCCTTTTCTTCTAACATTATGCGTGCATTTCCTTTTTTTTTATTGATCAAATGATGCCAATGAGGGTCTGTACCTTTTCATTACGCTTGTTGTCATCCTGTAACATCTCTTTTTACTACAGATTCCAATCACTGCCCCAAAGCTCATGTTTTTAAGCAATTAAAAATTTATTTAATTTTGAGTGGGGTGTATGTACATGTGTCCCTGTGATTGACAATGGGAAAAAAGGCCCATAAGTTATACATTCTAAATTTTGAGGGAAGAAAGAACTAGATTTGGAAATATTTCGTTTCTAGTTTTGATGAAAAAATATTCGTACCCTGTCTCATGGTCCCATCAAAACTTTAACTGTGCTCTCCTCAAATTGCATGTTTTTGTTTCCTCAATTCCACATGCTCTAGAAATGTCACTTCCTTCCTTCTTGATCGTGCCCCAGGTTAGATAGACCGAAAATATTCCATTTTGGCAAGGACACCATTAACTCACAATCAGTTTGGATTTTTTGGAAACTAAGGGCCTTTTCTCCCAAGACAGGCACTTATTCAGAATCGAGCAAGCTGATATCAGGATCATACTTTAATTTGAATTTTAAAACATGTCTTCTTTGTTTAGTTAAAATACGTCTTTCAATTGAAGACATACAGATAATTTCTCCATGTCAAATAATTTTTTTCAACAAATGACCCTGTTAACAATTAGCTTTTAAAAGTTCAAAAGCCCTAATTTTGAATTTGGCCTCTCCTGACCCGGTGTATCTATCTAGAATCTGTAAAAAAGAGAGCAGTATGGGTTTAATATCTCATGTTCATCCCTATCTTTGGCAGGTTGTATTTTATATTTAATGTTTCTACTACACCACTCAATTCTCTTTTCAATACTCACAATCAGCTGTATCATAGAAAACTCAAATATATTTTGGAGACTATTTGACAAAATTTGTCGTGTTTCAAAAGCTATTGAAATAGTATCTAAAGGGTATTGTTGGTTTACCTGTTTTTTAACACCTACTTAGTTTTGAATCAACCACACCTTATTAGTTTTGAATCAACCTAATACAGTAAAAAAAAATACCAGTCCAGCTTACAGTATTTATTTTTTGGCTTGTTCAATGTCTAGCATCAAACTATTTTTAATCTCAACAGTAAATTATTTTTGCCTGGAGAATCTAAAAATAAAGTCATAATTATTGAGGATCTTGTCTGAAAAGGGAAGTTTTTCTTCCCATCATCGCAGCTACCTGGGAAGCTCTTTTTTCTCTTAGAGCCACGTTTTGATGAATAAAATAGAAAGTTCAATTTTTTCAAACATTCAGAAACGAAAGCCAAAAATATTAAATTAACTCTACAAAGCAGTAATTTATTATGCTCTCTCTACTTCACAAGTTATAATTCATTAGATTAGGCAGCAGTCGATATTAATCATCAGGATTGAGTCGCAAAGGGCCTCTTGATAATCTTTGAATTTTATTTACAGTGCCTGGTGCCCCTCAAGAAGTTGTCGTGAATGCTATCAATTCAACAACAATACACATAAGATGGAAACCACCCGCAGACAAAGATTTGAATGGAGTCATTCGTGGGTACCAAGTGCATGTTCAAGAAGCGCATGAGTCCCAAGAGGTAATTTCTGGATTTTCTCATCGTGTTCCCTGTCATGGGTTTCCGGGTATTTATTTTTCCAACCACCTTAGCATTTCCCCCCCTAAAAAACAAAAAAAAAGTTCAGTCGTGCATTTTCCTGCTAGATCCATACAAATTGTGAGCCATAAGCAAAGTACATACACAACTTTGACGGCCGCTGTCCTCATGGGAGTGTCACGTGAGTGACCGTATCCTGGCTGAAATGACCTGTCTGGGACACACGGAACTTCAATATCGATCAATACAACCACAGGCAACATGTTGAAGTACATTTATTCTCTAGGTACAAAATGTGAAGTAGTGTAACTTAGAATATTCTAATATGTATAACTATTTACAGATTTGTGACACAAGTGGCATAAAATGATCGAAAATGAGTGGATAGTGTTATAAATGATGGAAAAAAAGTTGTAGGTATAAGCAAGAAAAGTGCTGTTGGAGTTTTACTGCTGAATTGGAGTACCTGAAGGTAGCTGAAGTTTTACTAATTTACATTTAGCATCATAATTTGAAACATCGAGCAAAATCCAGTATTATAACATCACAGTATCTTATAGTGAAATTTTCAGTGCAGATGGATGTTTGGAAGCTTTAAATTGATGATTTTTTCCGGAAAATTTCAAATGTATCTCCACTTTTCTTCCTATTGTGTCCTGTCAACTGTGATGTGTGAACATAGAAAATAAATTTTATTATTATATAATCACAACTGTTCTTTGTGTGTATAGGGTGTCAATACGCGCAATGAATCAATGCTATTCCATGTGATGAACGGCACCATGCTTGAGTACAACGTTTCAGGTCTTCAACCTAACACTTCATACACCGTTCAAGTAGCTGCCTTAACTCGTAAAGGTGATGGAAATAGAAGTCAGCCTTCCACCGTTAGCACTCCTGGCGGTGTGCCCAGTCGGCCATCTTTGAACTTGAAGTAAGTAACTTAATCAATTTCTGCAAATTAATCTTCCCTGCATTTTGTAAAAGAATGAAACCTAGTTTGACTGTGTGAGAAAAATTAACAGGAATTTCAGTGGTAACTATTGGCTAGTTTCCTTTGAAAAAAATTAAAAAGTGAGTGGAGATCTATATCGGTGCAATTTGACAAATTTTTCAAATTTAGCCTTCAAAATGTATGAAGATTTATCAAACGCCAAGTTTTCTTTTTCAAAATTTTCCTTTATATCGCCAAAGATGAAACGAGAGGAAGGGTACCAAGGTGGATGGTGTCATCTCCAATATTGTGCATGCCTATCACATTTTTTTCAAACTTTCAAACTATTTCTGTAGTATTTTTCCAGCCTTCATCTCATTAATCGGCAATAAATAAAATATGTGTTGCTTGCTCCATGTGCATTGTTGACTAGAAAAAGGTAGAGGAAATACTGAGACACTTTTACTGGCATTTAAGCTGTGAAAACTCATTCAGGAAATGTTAGGTTTTTGAGATCATGCTTTAGCTTGCAAAAGTATTTGTCATCATGAAAATATTTTACAATATAATTTTTTTAAATGAAAATTTTGTGTAAAGTGGATACCTCTATTAGGATTTCTGGGCGTCTGGAAAAATGGAACAGTCAAGGAAAGTCAGGGAATTTGCTGTAACCAGTACGATTAAGGAAACTTGTAGAGTAGCGTGTCAAGTCTTACCTACCAACGGTAATTTTTGAACCATTTCTGAGAGTCGTTTTCCTTAGTTTGAATGTCTAGAAGTGGAAATTGTGTCCTAAGTAGAGCAAAAGTCAAACAATCATTCTTTTCAATGCTATTGTTTTTGCTTATTTTTAGACGCATCGAACACAAAAGCCCGGATGTCACCTTGGAGCTTTCATGGGGAAAACCCAATCAGACTTATGGACAGCTGATAGGTTACAGACTCCGTTATGGTATTCGTGATTCACAGCTGACTGAAATAATATTGACAGAGACCCGTCATGTTATCAATCAATTGGGTGAGTAATCTTTAAAGTTATTCTCTCTTTTATTGCGCCCTCTCAGGCTCTCAAGTCCGAAGCCAAGTTTGGAGTGTCAAGTCTAAAATGTTTGAAAGTGAAGACACAATATGAAATTTATAAATTAAAATTTTTTGTCACTTCAATATTTTTTTGTATAAGTTATAATTTCAGTTTAAAAGTTGTGTGATTTACTGCGCATTCTATTTATTTGGTACCTAGACTGAGAGAATATTTTTTCTCTAGTAAAGGAATCAATACTTTGATGGAGTAAGTTCACAACCACGTATTTTGGTTTTCGAAGTTGCAGACTTTCTGTAATAATCTATTTTATAAATGGAAACTCCTCTACAGCAATTGTTAAAAACTCCAGTAATTTTTCCTCTCTGTGCGAAGAAAATTTTGGAAAAACTTCAAAGAATGATGTCGATTTGTTCTCCTTCAAAGAATTAAAATAGGAGCGGAGATTTTCAACCACTGCCAGTGAGATATGGAGTTGCCGACTTACACTGTCAATTTGCATCATTACTTATCTTTGTGTCTAGATTTTTTTTCAAACATGAGTGGTCGGTTTTGATGAACATTCCATAATCAGTCAGGAAAAAATTTATCAATAAGGAGAACATAATGTGCATTTTAAATGTATGTCTGTAAAAACTACATAAAATCTTGAAAATTAAGTATTTAAAAATATAAAGAAAGTATATTCCTTTTGTTCATTAATATTCTATTTTTCAGAGCGAGGTGTGGAGTATGAATTTAGAGTGTCAGGCCAGAATGAAAGAGGGTTCGGCCAAGAGGTCGTCAAGTACTTCCAAACCCCTGAAGGACCACCAACTGGACCACCAACAAATTTAACATACAGATTCCAGACCCCAGATGTTGTTTGTATCATGTGGGATGCCCCTGGCCGGGCCGAGAGAAACGGACAAATTACTCGGTATGATGTTCAGTTTAAGAAGAAAATTGATCAGTCAGCAGTTATTAACCGGAACACCACTCTAAACAAGGTTAGTTTCAGCATGTTATCTTTGTTTCAATCGTACATGAAAATACAGAAAGCGAGCCAAGTTCAGGAGATATTGAGAATTTACAGAGGAAGCTTCGCCGAAAATACTTGCGTATAAAATACTTCAGTTTTCTTCTCAAAATTATTGTCCAAAAAGAACTGCACTTCAGAATGGTGGAAAAAGAACTTCTGTAGCTTAATGGTGGTGGTGCAAAATGGTCATACTTACTTTTTCAGGAAAACGCTGAGTAATATTTTGAATAAAATATTAGAGAATGTTCAAGTCAGAAATTTGGACTCCAGTTCATTGCACTCTTTTTAATCATGGAGTAAGCACTTTTTGGAGACTCAATTACTACAAAAAATGTCTAAATAATCATGGTACATTTCCTTTAAACAGTGATTTGGTTAGTGCACAGTGATGACTGTCACTATTGTTTACTCCAGTAACCTCGTCTTCGTATAGATTCCTCTCTTAGAAACCTCCCTAATAATGATAATCTTTTTCCTTTCCCTTTAATAAATTGAAGCCAGTCCATTTTGTCTTCAAAAGTAAACTGATGGAAGCTCTAGCTATTGGCTTAGAAGCATCTGGCCTTTGCAATTCATCTATTATCAACAATCGTTTTTGCCCCTCACTCACTTTATTCTCATACGGTTACTGGAATTTTTTCTCTTACAGGCTGTGTTTTCTGAGCTTGAAGAAGGTGCTTTGTACATAGTATTAGTTCGTGCAGCCACCCGCCAAGGACATGGGCCTTGGAGTGAGCATCTGTCCATTCAAACAGCAAAAGACATGCTTCGAGCACCAATGGGCTTGAAAGCGGCAGCTACTTCCGAACAGTCCGTTGAAGTATGGTGGGAGCCCTCAGTTGCTCGCACAAAAGTTACAGGCTATCAGGTACACATTATTGTGAAATCATTTTTACCTCATAGAATAAGTGTTCTTAGCCATCAGTTAATCAATTTTCAACCTAGTCAAGAAACTTCATTTTAAAAATAATATTATTCGTGGACGGAAACTTAGTTTTTTTTTTCTGTGTCCCATGTTTTTTTCCTGTCCTGAGCAAAGAAAGTGTCACTAGTTGAGGATGAAATAATTGATAGCAAAGGAAGAACGCTATAACCCAGAAACATGGACAAAAATAGTCAATATTTGCTAGAGCAGTTGAAAAAGTTGTTAGTTAAAGTAATTATTGAAGTAAAGCGCTATAGCACTTTACTCAGTCAGCTGTTTTCTAATTAAGAGTCTATTCTTGGTCTCATTATTGGTAGTGGCTGCAAAAGTGAGGTGATATGTCACTTCATATCAGGTGAATCACCTATACAGCCAAATTCCAATGAGTTGTCTTGATTACTTGTCGTCGAAAATAAGAATTTGCCTTGGCAATTTCCTGAAGTATTTCCCAACTTTCTTATAGTTACTTTTCCATCATATTTTTTAGACATGTTTTTCATGCTTCTAAAATGCAGAAGCCTTCGAGTGAATTTTAACCATCTCAAGGTCTATTTTCAATTATAACCATCCAGATTCCTAATTTTTCCTAATTTCGTGATTTTCCACAGATTTTCTACACAATGACAGCAGTTGAAGATTTGGATCAGTGGCAGCAAAAATCAGTAGGACTAACCCATTCCGCTGAACTAGTCAGCTTAGAAAAATATGCTGAGTATGCCATCGCCATTGCAGTCAACACAAGCAATGTAAGTTATCTATTTTTCTCTGTTCCACGGTACCGTTCAAAGTCTCCTCTTTTTTAATTTCTGTCAGACAACTAGTGACCCATTGCAAATTAATTTCTACCCCTATTAGGTCATCAGATGAAGTACAAATCTAATTATTTTTCATGTCATTTTTCTATTTTTTTATTCAAAATTGTTTATACAAGCAAATGTTTTAAAATTAACTCTTGACAGTAATGCATTGTTTACTATTTTTACCACCGACGTCAGTCAAATTTGGTCAAAAAATTTATGAATTTTCCCCATTCTATCACTCTTATTTCCATTACGTGTGTCTGTAATCAAAGCTTCTCTCTTTAAATGCTTGGAACTCAAGACAGAAACTTGTGTTATATACTACATTGAGGTACCAGTCGAATCAAGTTTAACAGAATGGACCAAGTTGCATTTTGAAAAAAGTTTTGAGTTTTGAGTAGTTTTTATCACATTAAGTTGGAGAACTTCTCCCGTCAAAAATTCAAGGTTAAGAAAAATATTTTGAACGTAAAAATAATCATTAAACTACATTCTTAACATTGAGTCCTACGAAGGAATAATGCTTCGAACCTCCTTTTCTTGATTTAAACTTAATCCAGTTCAGTGTGTAATTGTTAAAGTCAGTCAAACTGTGATGCCGGCAGAATAGAAAATTATTGACAATCACTTAATTTGCTTGATTTGTAATTGATTCGTTCCCTATTAATTATTTTTCTTTCATTAAAGGGCCTTGGAAGACTTTCGGAGAAGGTTACCGTCAAAGTCAAACCAGAAGATGTTCCTTTGAACCTGAGAGCGTTTGATGTGTCCACTCACAGTATGACCTTATCATGGTCTCCACCTATAAGACTGAATCCTTTAAATTACACTGTAAGTCTGGGTCTTTTATTTTTCTGTTATCAAAACAAGTCTTTGCAAACTCTTTTTCTTGTGAAAATTTTTCATTAAAGTAATTGGACTGATTCAATCAGAATTAGCCTAACTACATCAGACATTTCCTAATTTTCTCTGATGTTATATTTTTGAAACAGGAAACTAAGCAATGCCGAAACTTGTGTCGTGAAAATCTGATTAATATACTAAGTTTGAAAAATATTACATTATAAATTTATTATGAAATATATATTCTATTGACATTAGAATAGCATTTAGAATATTTGTGTATTAATATAATGGAATGTTCTTTGCATGTAGTATTGTTCATTCTTAACTTTTGAATATTGCAGATCTCATTTGATGCGGTGAAAGAATTTGTGGACTCTCAAGGTATGACGCAAACACAAATTGTGCAGAGGAGAGAAATCATTTTGAAACCTGAGGATACATCATACATGATTAACGAATTATCGCCTTTCACCACATATAGTGTCAATGTCTCAGCTGTTGCCAGTGACAAAGAATACCGACCTCCTGCGAGAATCACCGTTACAACGCAAATGGCTGCGCCCCAACCTATGGTTCAGCCTGATTTCAATGGCGTTGTTAATGGTGATATGATCCGGGTAAGATTCGACCAGACCTATTGACTTTCTATTAATAGATTACTTTTATCACTCAATAAGCTTTATCTCATGTAAATGTATACTATTTATGCTACAGGCTTTTTTCTTTCTTTCTCTTTTACTCTGATCAATTCAACAAATAGAGAATATTTCATAATTTTGGAACTAATTAATTATGCTCAAAAGGTAGCCTTCATTCAAGTACATCAATGTGCAAGGACGAGTCAAAATCTATTAATTCTATAATACTATATCTAATTTCTACCTTCTATATTGTTCAAATCTTATTCATTAAAATCGAATGAGATTATTTGCATTAACTCCGCAATTGTTTTTAACCTCCAGGAGTTCAGGTTATCGGTATGTCCTCTCCCTGTCCTTTTGAATATAATATAAATCAACAAACAGTCAAAACAAAAACGACTCCAATTTTATCGTGTTGCAAGTCAAAGAATGATTTTTCTTTTTAAATTTCAGGTTGTTTTACCTCAAGCATCTGAAGAATATGGACCCATTAGTCATTATTATCTCATTGTCGTTCCTGAGGATCCTAATAGTGTTAATAAAAATCCGGACCAGTTTTTGACAGAAGAGGTAAAGTTCTGTCCTTTTCCTCATTTCTTATCTCTTTCAGGATGTTCATTCTTGTTGGACTTAGATTCGTAAGTTTTCCTACGGCTGCTGAAAATGTTTCATTTTATTCCACTTTTTCCATCAACATATGTGATTATTCAGTAATTAGTGTTAGTTTGAAAGTGGATGGAAGCAAAACATTTGAATTGTTTAGCTTGTACAGGTCACAACAGTTTGACAGGTCAGAAAAATTAGGATTGCATCATGTTTTCTTTAATCAGCTAAACATAGAGGATCAGGTGGCTTAAAAAATATTGCGTAAAAAATACAAATGAAAAATTTAATGCCACCGAAAATCTAGTTAAAGATCGAATAGCATTTTTCACAGTCTTAGAACTTAAACTTATCAAAACGTCTTTTTTAAACATTACAAAAGCATGAAAAGATGATTTGTATTGAATTTACTGTGTCTAAGGCATGATTCCAATTTTTCCCCTTTGTTTACTCACGGCTTGTTTTTCTTGATGTTCCTCAGCTTATAAGCGGTAAAGGCCTAAGGAGTGAGTATGAACGTCCACCATATATCGCTGCTAAGTGGCCTCAGCGAACTATTCCTTTCACATTCGATCTGGGCAGTGGAGAAACATTTGAAGGTTTTGTCAATCGGAAACTAGAACGTGGAGTTAGGTACAAGGTGTTTGTCCGTGCTGTGGTTGACGCTCCGCAAAAAGTAAGTTATTCAGATTAAGCATAAGTAAGTCTTATGGTTTTGAAATTTTAACTTGAATCTTTTCTGAAGTCGCCTGTCTGTTCGTTAAATTTGCAATTTTCTAATGATTTCATACTCCAAGGTTTTATGCCAATCTAGTATAAGAAAAAAAGTTTTAGGATACAAGCTAAACTTACTGTCTCCAGTGAAAATCTGTAGTATGGAAAGCTAATAAACTCACTTCACTCAAGTTTTAGTTACCAAATATATTTCAGAATAGGTCAGCAGTACTCATTTTTTTATTTAAATTTATTCTTTGAAAGTATGGAGTGAACTGAGCCTCTGGGAATTTTTTCGGATTTTTGTAGATCCTAAAAGGTAAGGAAATCCCGTTTGGAAAAAGCCAAAGTGGACGGCTCTGATGACGTACCCAGGCATGGGAAATGGCGTTTGCTGATTGGCTGAACTTAGCTTTGGGCTTTGGTTGTCAACTCGACTGTTGGCTTTTGATTGGTCGAATTTTGATTAACTTTTTCTCCCCCTAGAAGTGTTTTTTTTTTTTTTTAAATTTTTTGGTTTTTCCACATTTTACTGAAGATAAACTGCACTATGACCCTGTAAAAAATCATTACCAATGCCCCATTCCTAGACTTCACTATCTATGAGCCCTCATTCAATCATTTTTCACAAATAGCAGGTTTTTCTTTCGAATCGATGAGGTATTTCAGTGTAATGGTTTGAAATAGAATCCCATAGTGTTTGAAAGAGGTACTCAGTAGCCTCCAATTATTTTTTAACCATTTTCTATACATTGTGTTACAGGATAAATTATTCACTTCAAGTCCTTGCTCCGAGTACATGGCTCTGGATATGAAAGGAGTTCCCCCTGGAGATCCGCCTCGCCGGCCTGACCCAAGTGCCCCTGGTGACCACACTCAGATTAGTGTAAATCTGGCCAATGAACAGCCTGCAATGGTTTGGGTCATAGGCCCAATTATCCTAGCCCTGCTTCTTTCCATATGTCTTGTTCTCATATTTATCATCAGACGGTAATTTTCTTATTTGAACATTTGTAAACTTACAAGATCAACTAAAGCTCTTTATGAGCAGTTTGGTGTTATTCGCCTAGCCTGCATTTAACAAAAAATAATCAACTCGATAACAAGAGTTTTTAGCATTGTACAGTAATAAAATTTTCACAATCGTTTTCTCTCAACAGAAAAGATTTTTGGTGGAAAAACAAAGACTGTTTGCTCTCCCAGGCATTTCCTTTTAGATGAAGATAATGATGCATGATTTTTATGACTGCAATCAAGTTGGTTCTCTTCTGTTAAATGCAATCAAACTATTCACCTCAATATAAGCTTTTATTATCTTTGATTTGCCACTTTGCGGACTAAATTGAAAGTAACATTCTTGTCAAGAAATGATACTGCAAGGATAAGGAATGGTTTTCAATTTGATCTGTGATCCAATTATCAGACAGATCTGGAAACTCTTTTGACTTGTAGTCTCCTTGATATCTCCTTTCCAGCTCTTTTGACGCAACCTTAATGGTTTTAAATTAAAATCAGAAGATCGTCTGAAAAAGAGATCAAGATTAACGTGGAGGAAGTTTCAACACCAGCAAGTTAGCTGAAAATTTCAAATTGAGGAAGTTTAAAGAACGTCTTTTAAAGAAGATCTCCTGCCAAGTTTCATATAAAATAATTCAAAATTCAAATTGACTCAACTCTTTGATCACCCAATCATGATAGCATGGACAGGAGCATACTCAAGATATGTTTCATATTCCTCGCTCAACGTAAGAAAATTATTATTCAGTTTTAACTAACTGATGTATCTAAAATCGGTTTCAGTTTCTCAAGCTATTAGATGTATTTTCTTTCACATCTAGTACTTGAATTTGAGAATTGTCATTTTTAACAACGAACTTCTATTTTTTTGTTAATGTTAGACGCCGCCAACCTTGTAAATACCCAGATCATGCTGCTGTGACCCGTCCTTTAATGGCTGACTCAGGTGGAATCATGCCAAAAATTGCTGCTCCATCAGATCCTGTCGAGTTACGGCGTCTAAGGTTCCAAACGCCTGCCATGGTCTCTCACCCTCCCATCCCTATTACACGACTTGCTCAACACATTGATGCTCTTAAAGCGAACGATAATCTCAAATTCTCACAAGAGTACGAGGTGAGTATCATGTTTCAATCACGGTTTTCCTCCAACTGTTTTCAAAGATGGTTTACTTCGCTTCCCCCCCCCCTTTTTTTTATCAAATACTACCTGCAAGAACAGGATCTTTAGTGCTGAAAATTAGAAACTAAGATAGTGGTGTTACACAAAAGTATTCTTTACATACATTGCAACAAAAAAACTCCTGAGAATGGCTAACTCTGCAGAATCTTGATGTTTGAAGTTTTCAGTCATCAAAATGTAAATTTGAAATAAAGACAGGAGATAAATACATCAGGCTTAGTTCAGTTGAATGGTTTAAAAGAGTCAAATGGTCAGATCATCCTTAATTGTATATGAGTGTCTAGTGTCCACTACACTACTTTTGCAAAAGTGTATTTCCTAAGACAAAAGCGCCAGACTTTTGTTGCTGTTTTAGGCAATTGTCCCTGCTGGTGATCCTTAAAGAAGCCAGAAATCATCTTTTCCTGTGCTTGTCAATTCAAACTTTCTGTTTGCCAATGGACCACTAGACAAGGCACGAATTCAAACATTCTGATACATGTTTCTTAACCAAAAGTTCACGTAGAACACGATTCGCGCAACGAAAATTACTGAAACCAACTCCTAACGAAGATATTAACCTTTTATTTCACATTGGTTACGCAGATTTTGAACTGCCCGCTCACAAGAAACTCAAAGCTCTACGTGACTCAAATCGCGCACTTGAACGGTTTCAGCAAGCTCCTCAACCGAATAATGTTCGTTTCCCACAATTTGTTGTTCGAACCATAAGCAATTTGCTATAGCTGAGCCAAAGCGTCAAGATTGAGGTTACCAGATTTTTATATAGCAAGAGACTGTCATGATAACGTTTAGCGCGCGATGTGAATCACGCAGAGCATTGAGTTTTCATGAGCGGTTGGTTTGAATTTACACATCAAGAATCATTAAATATCTTCGTAAGGAGTTGATTTCGGTAATTTTCGTTGTGCGTATCGTGTTTTACGTGAAATTTTGGTTAAGAAACATGTATCAGAATGCTGAAATTCGTACCTTGTCTAGTGGTCCATTAATCAAAATCGATTTGCACCAAAGCGGCTTCTGAACAAGTCGTCTTTACAATGCAATACTTTCTCACTGTACATACTGAAGTTGCCTACATTGTCTGCATTTATACATGGAGCAGCTCTTTTCTTTAAAAAAAAAAAAAAAAAAAAAAAAAAAAAAAAAAAAAAAAAAAAAAAAAAAAAAAAAAAAAAATAAAAAAAATTACAAGAAAGTTTCTACATATTTTGCACTATCCTTTTGCTCGCAGAGTATTGAACCAGGTCAGCAATTCACATGGGACCACTCAAATTCGGACGTTAATAAACCAAAGAACCGTTATGCCAATGTTATTGCCTATGATCATTCACGCGTTATTCTTACACCAATAGAAGGTGTGCCCGGCAGTGATTATATCAATGCCAATTTCTGTGATGGCTATCGCAAAAACAATGCTTATGTTGCAACACAGGTAATTTTGGATGCTTTTATTATATCTTGATAAATTTTGAGCCTATATCAATTTTCGTGCATCAATAATATCAATTAACATTCTAAGTTCTGACACAACAATATAGCTCGAAGCCTTCTGTTAATTCAGTTAATCTAAGCTCCGATTCAATAAGGGAGAGAGGTATTTTGGAGATCTAAAGCTTAGCAGAAAAAAGTATGCTTACATATTCTGGGATCAATGTTCAATCACTAGTTGCTTATTTTTCAGTGCCACAAAAACTGATAGGTGAGAAGTTGAGTCAATGATCAGCTTGCTCTATCGTCAAAGGATTGAAACGTTGACACATTTGCCCATTCAAATAGCCTGAGCTTGCCAGACCCAATCAACCCTTCTATAATAGACTGTGCTCATCACTGATTCCATTCCTCACCAGTAGAACTTCATTGCTTCAACTATAATTCAATATTTTACCTTAATTTGTTGCCAGCAAAATAACAGTGGGTTTTTTAATTTATCAATTCTGGCAGATTCTAGTTTGGAAAAGCATTATTTGTAGCCCTCAAGATTATGCCTCAATTAAGCTACCAAAATAAGGCTATGGTTGCATCTTGAAATATAATTCTGAGCATATAAATTACCTCTACTGTTTATCGAAGCTTTAACTAATTCAAACTTTGCAATTTACGCCTCAGTTCCAGTTTTGGTGCTGCAAGTATCGATGCTCATTTTAGATCGCTGCCTTTGTATTTATCGCAAGATGAAAATTTTGAGAAAGACCATGTAGTTGAAGAAGATTATGTCCTATCGTGGAGAAGAACAATCAAATACCAAACTGTTTTTTGTCTTTTCTTATTTTTATCAAATCATTTACCTCCATGTGACTCCATTGACTTATAGGGTCCTTTACAAGAAACATTTAGTGACTTTTGGCGGATGATTTGGGAACTCGGGGCTGCGACAATTGTGATGATGACAAGGCTTGAGGAGCGGGCTAGAATCAAGTGCGATCAGTACTGGCCGTCGCGTGGTACAGAAACTTACGGACCCATCACTGTTACATTGTCTGATACTCTGGAGCTTGCCACGTATTCAATAAGAACATTTCATGTGAACAAGGTATGTATCAGAAAATTTTATTCTGTTCATGAGTAGGAAAGACTTCGCACTTTTCCCATTGAACAATTTGTGCCTGATAAACAAGAATGGATCTGTAAGAGAATAAAACAAGATATTGTGGAGCTTGTGCAACATTTGGATAGTTATGTAGTTATTAATCTACAAACTTGAGATTTTATGCCGAGATAGCTGGTAGTATCCCCAGTGTGTAGTTCTTTTTTGAAAAAAAAAATGGCTGTAATGGTGAATGTATCACACAGGAGACTTATTTTGATGGCGAAATCATGAAATTTTCTTATTTCCCAAAGAATTCCAAGTCTCTCGAATTGCATTGTGACAGATTTCGTATGAAATGTATTTTTAAAGAGGACCTAATCATTTTTTTTGCACAGAATTTCATCTGATTTTTTTGTCTTTAGAATATTCTCTAAAAAGTTTGTACAAAATAGTAAAGTGGTTTCTTTTGAACAAAGTTACATATGAGCCAGAATTTGGAAACATTGCAATCGTGATCCTTTAATTACACAGTCGATTTGTGTTTGACTACAAGGATTCTTAGTTTTTAATTAGGTGTCAAAATTTTCACATTCACCATTTAATATAAATTTTACTTAGCTATTCATTTTTATCGCCTTAGGGTGTTGATGGAGAGAGAAGAGAAATCAAGCAGTTACAATTCACCGCATGGCCGGATCATGGTGTGCCAGATCATCCGGCTCCTTTCCTTCAGTTCTTGCGAAGAGTACGTGGTGTCAATCCATCCGATGCCGGACCTTTGGTTGTTCACTGTTCAGCTGGTGTCGGAAGAACTGGATGTTTCATTGTCATCGATGCCATGATCGAACGAATACGGCATGAAAAGACAGTAGACATCTACGGCCATGTCACTTGTCTCCGAGCGCAAAGGAATTATATGGTGCAGGTATGCATATTAGTCTTTCAAATATTTTCATGATGCCTGTATCCATAATCCATTGGCATCAAATGATGAGTACACTTGTCACGCTGTTGGTGGGACAAATGGGAAATGATGAACAAGACCTGGCAAAAAAATTTCGTTAGTCTGGCACTAATTTATGGTTCTTGCTTTTGCGGCTATTGTGGTCTCATTGATCAATATGCTTTGGAAACAGTTTACTTCATTTATTTAGTATAAATTGGTACAAGTAAACAATAATTATTGTTACGGTACAAGCCAAGGGTTTACAAATATTTGTGTAAAAGTTAACTGTTTAAAATTTATCTATCGTGTAGCAGGCTTTGGCAATTAATAGATTTCTGCATTTGAATGTGGTCAAAAAATTTATTTAAAAAAATATGAAAGCCTCAAGTCGCTCATGACTTAAACATTTTTGTTTTTAGAACAGAGCCTCTCCCAGAACTTTAACTGAATAGTACTGTGAGAAATTTAAATATTTTCATTCTCCATTCGTGTGTCTACTAATTGACTTATACAAACTTTTTTTTTAAAAAATTCTAGACTGAAGATCAATACATTTTCATTCATGATGCTCTTCTCGAGGCAGTCATCTGCGGCACCACAGAAGTACCAGCCAGAAATCTTCACTTCCACATCCAAAAGCTGATGCACGTCGAAGCTGGTGATTCTATCACTGGTATGGAGCTTGAGTTCAAGGTAAGTGAAGACATTCAGCAATTAATTAATTCAGATTCGTTTAGACTAAAGTTTATGGTAAAAAATATGCCTGAGAGGACAGTATAAAGTAAAAGAAGAATCTCAATCTAGAGGTGGGTGTTTCTAGAAACTGTAAAGGCAAAAAAAGGCATCACTTAAAATTTACCAAAAATCGAAATTACCAGTAATGATGCAATGAACTAGGAGCATTATATTAACTCGTACAGAGCACAGCTGACCGGGTTCATTTTTTTAAAGAAATCTTGATGCAATGGGACGATTTTGAACTCATGTTGTGGTATCATTTACTGTACGTAATTTCAACTTGCCCTTGTCATATTTTCATTATTTTTGAGTTCTTTGTGGCTTCCTCAATGCTGCTCCTATTTTGACTTTATCAATGTTGCAGTCAAAACCAATATATTCCTCTTCCTATCAAGCTATTATCAAAAGCTTGAAAGGTTGATCTTTTATTTGTATTTCTTTCGGCAAATCTCTCATTCCAATCTGATCTATTTTGGCACAGAAACTTTCGAACATCAAGTGTGACTCCAGTCGATTCGTGTCTGCAAGTCTAGCCTGCAACAAGCACAAGAACCGGTTAGTCCATATCTTACCAGTGGAGGGAACTCGTGTTTGCCTATCTCCTATCCGAGGCATCGAAGGATCAGATTACATTAACGCCAGCTTCATTGATGGTTACCGACAACGTGGTGCTTATATCGCTACCCAAGGACCCCTCCTTGACACAACGGAAGATTTTTGGAGAATGCTCTGGGAACATAACTCTCCTATTGTGGTCATGTTAACCAAACTGAAAGAAATGGGCAGAGTGAGTGCAAAAATTTATTTTTTATTTTTAAAATTGATCTGGCTCTATTGAATTAGCAGAAACAGAGTTTTTGTGAAGTTCCAAGCTGGAAGCATTCAATTTATGTCCTGTCACTCTTAAAGAGATTTGACTCCCCAAGTTGCTAAGTTAGTTTGGATAAAACCATGATCTTTATATCTGTTTCGGGCTTTTGAAATTTTTTTGAGCAGAAATCAGGGAGTAAGTTTATGACCTTTGTTTTCAGTTGAAGGAAGTTCAAAAAATAATTAAACAATAGGCTAAATCAAGTGGCAAAATTTAACTGTAACAGATAAGACTATCTTTGGTCTTTTTGACCTCTGAATATTTTTATCTCTAATCTCTCTAAAACAAAGCTTTCCTGGACCTTTTACTGCACAAAGTTTTAGGAAGAAGCACATAAACTTTTAAGAAAGTAAAAGGGCCAATGCAATTGTTCTGTCAAAGAGATAAAATAAATTCTCTTCTCTGCACTTATTATAATCACATTCAATTCGTCATTTCGGCACATTGTGTGCTGTTTCATTTTTTTTTTCATTTCAACCTTCTATTCATGATCTGTTGGTTGAATTACTGTCTGGTAAATCATATAAAAATTTAAAATTGAAATTATTTCTCAAGTATTCTAATCAATGTAATAATGTTTTCATTTTTTTTATACAGGAAAAATGTCACCAATATTGGCCAAGCGAACGATCAGTCCGTTACGACAATTTTGTGGTGGAGCCTATTGCCGAGTACAATATGCCTTTGTACATATTGAGAGAATTCAAAGTCACTGATGCACGAGACGGCAGTTCTCGCACATTACGACAATTCCAGTTCACAGATTGGCCGGAGCAGGGTGTCCCGAAGTCAGGAGATGGGTTCATCGATTTTATTGGACAAGTGCACAAAACCAAAGAGCAGTTTGGTCAAGATGGCCCTATCACAGTTCATTGCAGGTTGGTCCATTTGTTTCTTCAGGTTATTTTATTGCTGTCTCTGTCTAGTCACCTATTGCATTATTTCCCTTGCAATTTCATCTTAATTGAATATAAAATACAACATTTACAATGCCCAATGTGTGCTGCAGAAGTCAGAAATCAAATTGGCTTGGCACTCAGGGTGCGAAGGTTTACGCTGTAAGCCACATATTAAACTAATCATCTAACCAATCCATCAACTCGACTGAATAAACACTGCCCATCGCTCGTTTTGCAAGAGCTACACTCCAAATTGGGCGAAAAACTCTTTTAAATTTATAATGTTTTCTTATTCAAAATTTCAAGCCAAGTTTTTGTTGCAGCATATTTTCCACTATCCCCTATTTTTTGCCGTGCCAAGTTCCCAAACGTCTTGGAGAAGGCAATGATGTGAAATATGCTCAAAATTGCAGCTTAAAGTTAGTTTTTTTCCTTATGAAAAACGGATTGTGATCAACATCTATAACATCAAACTTGGCATGCAATCTCACTCGAATTATTTTTGTATAGTTGGGGTGCTTTTTAACAGTGCCAAAGAATGCGTTAAGAAGTCACCCAAAGTCGCAAGCAAATTCTGCTCTGTGAAAAATGTGCTCTCCATATAACGGCTAGTTTTGCAGAACGAAATTCTTCAATGTCTTTGAAAAGACCGTCATGTAAATTTAATTTTACATTCACAAAAATGCATAAAAAAATTTGAAAAATTTGAATGTCCATGCAAGGTACACTCTACTACAGGTATGGACAAATGGAATTTTAGAAAGTTGTCAAAACGCATAGATTTGACAGCATCGAGAGTGCGACTGCGAAGACCTGTGCGGCAAATGGACGGTATGACTTCATACGTCACTCGATCGCCGATTTTCTCAGCGCTGCCACTTCGGCACCCCGTTTGTCCATACCTGTAGTAGAGTGTACCTTGATGTCCATGAGGAAACGCTCCTTGGTCTTTGAAGACACAGAATTGAGTTATTGACATCAAAGCATATTATTCATAAATTTTCATGCTATTCATGAATATTTGCTCAGTTTTAGTTATTTATTCCCATTTTCATATGTGTGGCTGTATTCCCAAGTAATTGAATATTCTCCTTGCTACACGCCTCCTTCACAAAATTGGCCGATTGCACATCCCTATTTAATTTCTTTTAATGATTGCATTATTTTGGATGTAAACATATCAACTAAATTTTTAGCCTATCAGCTAATTCGTTCATACCATGTATTATTTCCAGTGCTGGGGTTGGACGTACTGGAGTGTTCATAACGCTAAGCATTGTTTTGGAACGTATGCAATATGAGGGTATAATTGATCTATTCCAAACTGTTCGCATCCTTCGCACTCAACGCCCAGCCATGGTACAAACTGAGGTAAGCACTAAATTGTTGTTTATCATGTTCAGACTTTTGTTTTAACCATTTTTCTTTGTATCAGCCTTAAATATATTTTTATGTGTTATAAAACTCATGTTTCATCAGTGCCGTTTTTAACGATTTTTGCTTACTCTCAAATGTTATTTTTTGGCATTGATTTTATGACCCACGAGATGAAATCTATTTTTTATTTTTAGTACATTTTGCCTTTACTAGCTCTATAAGCCAGTATTTATATACTGACTCAACCTGATTAGATTGGACCAAACTAGAGGTGAATTCGATTTGACGTTGGCGACAAAATACATGGAGTTGAATTGGCACGTTTATACTATCTTAAATCGAATGCATTGTGATTTTGATGATCTAGTCTGATCATATAGTGATCTTGATTCAGTGGTGTACCAGTGTTGCTGAGCAAATATTTTTAGGTATTTGTGAGGCGTTATTCCTGATCTCAAGATTGTTACGGTATCTAAAGAGAAATGGATAGCTTCATAATCTGGGTGAGTTAATGTGTGAAATATAAACACACCATCTAGAGGAGGTTTTATTCGCTTTAAATTTGACGTGTCTCCATCATATCAAATCCAAGTCTAGTCTGATAGAATCAAATTGTGTCCACGCAGTGTAAATGCAGCTCAAGTGGCCAAAAATATTGGTCTTTATCAGTCTTCAGCGTATGATTGGAGATCTTGATGAGGTTCAGCAATCAATTTACAAGGAACCGAAGCAAGTTCAGAATTATGCTCTCTCTCCCCACCACTAAAACACATTTGCAATGAAATTCCCTAGCATTCAAACTTAATGTAAAAATTATGGTTTCGTATTTTCACCTCAAATTTTCCGTAGAGATCAGTCTAGAGCTGTAGGAAGCTTAAATCAAGACACATAGTTTTTGACTATCGCAACAACTTGGAAGTAGATTAATATTTTTTTTGTAAACTAATTAATTTGTTTTTCTGTTTTCCAGGAGCAATATCAATTCTGCTACCATGCTGCTCTGGAATACCTCGGCTCATTTGACCATTACACGAATTGAGAAGAACTTTGTGCGTTGTCAGGCATCGCAAATGAATTTGCTGTCTAAACGCACATTGATCTCATCGAATAATAGACTGTTCATTACAATAATTGATCTCTTAAAGACGTGTGAATATGCATTTGTTCATGAGTTTCATGCATATCATATGTTTATTGCCAGTGTTAGTTTAGTTTAAACCGAATATCAAGGCTAATCATAATTATAAGAAAAGATAAGTAGACTGAACGCCCTTATGAAGTCGATTTTCTGTTATTAGCTGCGCTTACTGTTAATGTTGTATATATTCATAGTTTTAATGAATCAATGCATAATACTAAAATTGTATAAGTGTAAAATGTACATATGTAGGTACGTTTTATTCTAGAAAATTTTCAATTGTAGAGCAAGAGTGTTTTAGTTTTTGTACTGTGGACGTTTGTTAAACTAGTTTTATGTTTTTAAAAACATCCGATTGCCAGAGAAGTTTTTTTGTATGTATGTAGTATGATTACATATGCAGGAGTTTTGATTACTCAACACTTTTTTAATATTGAATTAAAGAACAAATAGAAGCGCTTATCTCAGCAATTTTTTAAAAATATATCGCTTGCGGTGCTAATCTCATCTTCGAAAATGTGCAGCTCCCAACAGTAAAAAAGAGGAAAAAATCTCTTAAATTTGCGGAAACCCCTAATATTTATTTTTCCCCGCAAAAAGTGTAGTGAAAATCATTTAGCTGCTTTTTATGCCTGGAATTCAGAATCAATTTCGTACCCTTGCCACATAAATAGATAAAACTCCCTATCATCTATGTCCATACAGAAAATTACCATTGATATAAGAAAGGAAACTCCTCACTAACTGAAAAAAGAATCATGATAGACATCTATGTTTCATACTCTTTGAAGTTTTAATTAAACTTTAAAACCTGTCAAATATTTGTTCCAGTTGACCTGAGTATGAATTTGTTTAAGTAATTTTGTAAATTATTGTAATGAATAGATATTTTTGTACCCGTGTTGTAGAGGCAAACTGTTATAGATTAAGATTCCTTTTTTTTTTTTATTCCCCCTTTTTTTATACAGTTTTCTTTTAACTGGAGATTCATTTTCTTTTACAAAAATGAAAGGTGAGAATAACATATCAAAACACAGTCAGGTAATAGACAAAATCTGTAAACTTCCAACTCAGAGGGCATCTTTTACTTACTGACGGTTAGACAAAAGAATCTCTTTCATGGATGAATTTTAGTTCATAGCGGTTCTCTCTGAATTAGTTTCAATAATAGAAAAATTTTTCCATTAAATAAGAGAGCTCTGCTAGCAGCTAGAGTGCTCGGTCTCCTAACTCTAATTCTAATTTTTCATAAGAATCAGCTGTATTTTTTAATCCAGCTGAAGTTTGTGACAGGACCAATGTTAAATGAAGCAGCCGGTGAAAGAGCTAGTCAAACATTGCTGTGACCTAGACTGTATTTTTACCAGTCTCTTCCAGGCCCCATAAGGCATAGGATGAAAAATAAAAAGTAACGCACATATTTCTCATGGCGTGAAATCTTTCTCTGTCAATTTCAAGCTGTAAACTTGGTTAGCAGTATCTTACCCGAAAATGCAGACAAAACCTAGGAGATCCCTCTGAGACAATAAAAGACGACCAGTTTTTTTTTATCCACCTTGTAAATTCGAGTACCTACTGTGTTTCTTTAAGGGGTTGGAAACTGTGATGTTCGCATATTTGTGTGTAGTTTAGTTTGTTAATGAAGGAGTAATTTGGACAAAACCAAGATTACTCTTCTGCACAACTGTCAACTCATTGTGTCAATGAAAGTTGTTAAAGAAAAAAAGAGTTTTAAAATTTTTAATTGAATCGGTTAAAAGAAATATTTTGTAAATAAAGAAGAAGGCCTTTTTTTATCATAAGCCTAGTCTACAGAATTTTTCTAACTTTTACAGCGGATATAAGAAATGAATTAGCAACACACAATTGCAAGATTCTCAAGCAGTAAAAATTTACAATAAAGTTGTAAGGAGGCATTCTAAAACTCACTTTTGCTGAATATCATTTAGAGAAAGACATTTAGGGGAAATGAATTTTAGATAAACTCTCAAAGATTTTCATATCACAGTTACGTGCTTCATAGCGCAAAATTCCTCTGATCACAGCTTTTCTTTTTCTTTCATTTTCTATTTCCTGTTTATTTGTAACAGTTGTTGACCTATATATTTTGTAAATGAGTAAATTTTGAGTCTGTTTTTTCTATCGTTAATTTTATAATAATGTGTTTGTCCTGTGTACATTTGCAGCTTTTTCAGTTGCCTTTACTCAGTACTTATTTGAATGCCATAATCATTGTAGATGCTGTCCGTTCTCATTAGAACAGGAATGACAGTCCTTATAGGTACCTACTTGACTTAATGATCGATAATAATTACTTATAGTGATGCTCATTAGATTTGCTCCGACTCTCTTTAAATTATCATAATTCACATTTGTTTTCATAGGTTTGATTTTATCTTTCATATTGATTGCTTTACCAAGATCCCTGTAAAATTTAAAATCATCTCGAAACAGTTACAAGGAAATGGCTCACAAATCTTACATCACCTGAAAGTATGAGAGGTAAAAGTTGAAATGAACGTTTTTAAGTATGTTTCGAACATTCCCAATTTTGATCATTTTTACCCCATCAAAATCGAAAAGTAAGGGCATGATTATCTGCTAAGTTCTCTTTTGTGATTAATTGTTATTATAACAAATGTTACAAGGAAGGTTATAACTAGTCAGATAATGGTAACATGTTTCTGCACGATTTTTTTTTACCAAATGAAGAATTATCTTCGGTTTAGTCCTACAATCTTTATCATGAACTTTGGTCGTAATCTTGACTGTGCTTTCTCCTCGAATCCCCTTTCTTTCTTTTTTTTCCAATATTTTTTTTTTTTTTTTTTTAAATAGGTATGCATAACTTTAATGGCAATGTTTCAGATTCTTATATGTATGATTTTTCTAGTCCTATTATTACAAAATTGTTCGCACAGGGTTCCTGACTGCCTGGCAATTTTCAGTTATAAAGTTTAAAATTTATAGAATGCCCTACAATGTTGATTTTAAATAATTTTTAGTGCGTTTAACATAACAAGTTCTATTTCTTTTTCCTTGCATCGGTAAAGTTCCATGAAAATTTTTTCAACTCGCATTGTGTGATGAACATCATATCTTTAACTTGTTAAGAAAACCAAAAATTCTCATGATGAAGGGAAAAAGCTCTTTTTTAACAAAATTTTCCCTCAAAGAGATGTGTTGTAGAGAGGATAATGGATTAATGTAAACAACCTATTGAATCCAGTCTCTCTATTCTTGAAAAAAGAAAAAGAGAAAGAGAGAAAAAAGCAACATTGAATATTGTCAGACACGTGATAAATGGTATACTTAATTATAATTTCATTGTTACTGTTCCTCTCCCCTGAGCCTAACTCCTATATTTTCTGCCATTTTTAAATTCTTTTTTCAGTCTTAATATGTATTAATATTTCACTTTTCTATCTTCTGTACTTTTATTAAGTTAATTTTTATGTTTTTCATTTCTATCTCTGAAAGCCGAAAATATTTGCATTTCAATATCGCCACTAATTCAGAGACTTTTTGAACTCAAATTGAACAATCTTGCGCTTATTCTAGCATTTAATCTTCTTTAATTTATTTGTGCAACTTCATATAGTATCTTAATTGCAGTCAAATCGTGAACGTTGTTTATCTTCAAAGATGAAATAAAGAACTGGAAATTGTGAAGTTCCTAGTGTATGATTATTTATTGATTGTCTATACTTTCTCATATCAATTGAGCATATCTTACGTAAAAATTTATAACTTGCCTGCAAAGTTCGTTCTCTCCTGTTTTTTCTTTTGCTAATTGCAGGAATTAAGTCCAAGCTTCTAAGAATTTTTTTCTTGTTCGTAATTCAATCACAATTTGAACTTTTTCTACTTCCAGAAAAGTTTCTTGCCAAGTGTTCAAACTGTTTTGAAGCTAAGTTCTACCAGAAATTTTTCAATCAAAATTTTACCTGAATATCATGTAAGTACTTAAGTCAAATTTTTGAAAGAATTATTTTTCTTTTCAATTGATCCATGTAAATACCTAAATAAAGGGTAATCACCAGAAACTGCTTTTGTGTTTTTATTTCTATCTATTCCTTATACTTCCTCTCCTCAAAAACATGAAGCCTGTGACTATTTTTGCTGATTTGCTGAAAGTAACAATTAGCGAATCCTGGAACTTTTGAACATTGATTGGATACGGATAGTCAGACTTAATGAGTGATTTTATGAGGGAAAGGCTTGATTTCGACTTGGATTTTGTTGTCTACCTAAAAGAGATAAAAACACACCATTGATAATGGAGCCTATGCGCCTGGTCGAAAAAGATTGTTAAGCCATGCCCCCTTGATATTTTCCCTGGGTGACCATCTGGAGCCCGGAATCATGAGTTTTTTTCAGTTATATTTTGGTGTCTAGAAATTTCTTTTCTTTTCAATCTAAGGAAGTTAAATCGTGCTAAATAATGGAGTCCATGCAACCAGTCGATAAATGACTTAAAAACCATGCCCCCTTGCTGACTATCTAGAGCTCAGAATTTTGAATTTTTTTCCCACGTATATTTTGGTTCCTCTAGAAATTTTTTCCCTTTTGATCCAAGAAAGATAAGAATACACCATCAATAGTGTAGTCCATAGGACTGGTCGTAAAAGGGTGTAAAATTCATGTCCCCTTTTTTTAACCCCAATTTTTACCAAAAATGGAACCACCTAAAACAGGTCATCAGGTTTTGAAACGTTGCTTATGTGCCTCAGAAAATTCAAAAAAACCCGCGTGGAGGCAACAGCGCCCCAAGCAGCGAAATTTGAACTACTGCAACAAACTCCTCCTCCGCTTTCACACAGCGCTTGCAAAAAAGCATAACCGTATTTTAATGTGAGCTCTCTGCTTGATTAAAAACAATGCATTATATGGCTCATTACGACAGAAACGTAAGTCTTTTTTTTTGAAAAGCAACAAATGTTTTGATCCTAGTTTGTTTACATTCTTGTTTGCCGATAAGTACTGCATTCCTCTCCCTTCTTTTATCTTGCGTTCTTCCCTTTCTTTTGAGTCCTATATTTGAACACTTATCAAAATGAACTTTTAACTTATCAACTGAAGTACTTGATGTGTTGTTCGTGTAACTTTAATGATAATATTCTTGTTCGCTGCCACCTTCAACTTGGAGAACCTAGAAAGGTATCATGCATCTTCAATGCTTTAAAATTACCTGCTTTACATTGGCCCTTATTACTAGTTTGTTTTAATAATAGCTTGTCCTATACAAGCAGTCCGCATTTGGTTGAGCACCCAAGTCCTGCTCTATCACAATTTACAGCATTGATTCTTCAACAAGCTGTGCTTTTTCCCCTATGACACTTAGTTGCAGCACCAGTATATCGGTGCCAACAGGGCACTAGGGATGGTCGAATATTTAGATATTCGATATTCGAATCATCGGCACTGAGATAATAGCATCACATTCGAATATTCGCTTCCGAAGTATTTGAGATCGCAAATTCGAATACTTTGAATACTCGAATAATCGCATTCGAAAGTGTCAAAAGTGTCATTTTATCTCTCACGGTTCATAAAAAATCCAAAACAAAGCAATAATCGAAAATATTTGAATATTTGCATCCGAACTATTCGCAATTGCAAGATTCGAATTCTCAAATATTCGCGATAATCGCATTCGAAAAGTTTCGAATATTCAAATTCGATATTCGTCCATCCTTACAGGGCACCAATTGCAATTTATTAATAACTGCAATTACTGAGCAAAAAAGTTGTCCGTCCATGACAAAGAGTGTTGATTTTCTGTCCCCATGAAAGAATTGAAATTTATGTCTATCAAAGCAATGCACTTAGAAGTTAACGGGTATTTGATCAGAAATTTTGCTATTTCGGACAAATGGACTGCATTTTGCAATTTGGACCTACAAAGTCCGGCCCGGTTTAAAAACAACGTATTCGCCATTAGTTTCCCTATGCACATAAGTGTTTAATCAGATGAGCCAGAATTTATAGGTCCAAATTGCAAAATGCAGTCCAAATGTTAGTCAGATGTATATTCACGAAGGCGGTTAAAGAATGGTGGTTGCATTTCAATTTTGGCTGCCATCTTGAAGCGTTGTGACTTTAAGAGGGTTTTGCTGTGTAATTTGAGGTTGAGTCGGCTCCCCAGCCTCGGCTGGCCCATGTACCCGATGCCGTGTGACGTTCAGAGGGTACAAAATGCGACCACCATTCTTTATCAGCCTTGTATATTAACTCCCGAGGTCTGCTACTTTTATCAACTTACCTACTATGTACCTATTCATCATTGAGTCCACGCCAAATAAGTTCAGGCACTTTTAGACTGCAACAGAGGATCCATCATCTTGATTCTTGTATTTTCTTTCAATGTTAAAGTAATGCCACGAGATGTTCTGCCACACTCTGAAAGTGTACAAACTTCTTTGGCATAGACTCTAATGTCAAGGAAAAGGAGGATTAAAATTTATGTGCACCGCTGAGACTTAAAGGATTCATCCACAGCATAGGGTAAACATCAGGCTTTTATACGAAATAGAAGATCATCTGAAGGGCTTCACACTATTTTTTCCTTACACCATAGTTATCTGCTTCAAAAAATTTCAGCTTTATGTCAGTCTCCCACTTGTTTTACAGCATTATTTCTTTCCTCTTAAGTATTTTGTCCCATGTAGTTACTTATTGAATTAAAAAAAAATATTTTGCAAACAGGTCAACTGCAAAAAGTGAATTGCTCAACATCATTTGAAAGACCCAAAATCTAACCGTCTGAAGATGGGTATCGGCTCTAGTCGACCATATACAATAAATTCTAGGATTGACGGAAAGACTGTCCTCATAACAGGCTGTAACACTGGTATTGGTAAATTTACTGCGCAAGAACTGTACAGAATAGGTTTGTAACATTTCATTTGATTTCTCAATTTAAAAAGCCTATTAATCTGTTTCAAAATGTAGTTAGACCGACAGACATTTTCAATGAAGAAAGACAAGTTCTTAAAGTGAGGAAACATCAATGTTTCAATGAGAATGATAACACACCGATTTGGAAAAATGAAAATGTACAGGAGAAACAAAAAACTGCATACTAAGTAGATGAAGAAGTTAGAAGGAAAAGCTTTTCGGAGCCAGAGACAAGTGCTTAAAGATAAGTTCTTATCGTTTAGCACCAAAAAGCTTTTTCTTACTGAACTTATTCACTTACTGCAGTTTTTTGTCTCCTGATTCCATTCTCACTGATTCAAAAAAGCTTCCTTTGAGTAGCTGAATACAAGACCTGCCGCAACTTCAACTATCATACTTACAAATGAATAATTTTGAGGACAGGAAGATCTTTAACTAGAGGTGTTGTCAGCTAAGTTGACAGTTGTTTAATTTTGGTTTGCAAGCACCAACAGAGAATTTGGGCCTCTGCACAAAGCAGCGTTAGCTACTATCCACCTTGGAAGCATCTGTCTCACGATCATATCGCAAAAATCTACCTATCAGTAGTTATGATTCGCGATTTTTATGTGGTTGTGATTTCTGTGTGGCTAAAAGTTAAAGTGTTACAAGGTTTGAAAGTATTAAAAAACTTATCAAAGCGTGTGTTCTTGCTTCTGCAAGAGTCGGATGTTTTCATGTGGATAGTAGTGACGCGAAAACGCTTGCTAACCAACCGAAAGTAAACAACCGTCAACTTAGCTGATGACACCTCTACTTAGTTGGCAGGACTGAGAACCTCCTCAACTTGATTATTTTATTTTATCAAGGTTAGATTAACGAATAAAATAATTAGTTGGTCGGGAGTCCTAGGTCTGATCTTACTGAGTCGGCTATAGATGCACATGGATCATCTAATCGCCATGGCCTCCTATTATTCAAATTGAATTTTCAATCCACTCAGTTAACTTGAAAGCTGCTTAACCACCTCTTAAAGAGGTTTTTTCCATATTTTTGCAATAGAGGGACAAATATCATCCACGGTAAGTTTTCTAGGAGACAGGAGTCATCACAAATCCCAGAGCTAATCAAGGCGAATAAATCAGCAGCCAAATCCTAAAAACAGAACTTTTTACTGTCTAGTTTTAAAATTTCCATTCTTACTTAGTCTTTTAATAATAGATTTATCAGAAAGTATCATGCAATATTTTTAAGGATTATCCTGGAAAGAGCAGCGAAAAATTCTGCCTCGTTTTGTGCACCCATGATGGTCAGTCATCCTTCTAAAAGTATAAACTGTACCCAAAAATTTGCCAAAAAAAATATTTGTAAATAGTTTTGCATTTTCCCCAATAAGTGAAAATACTTGCTCCTAAGTTATCCTCATCAGCTGAGCAGAAGTTTTTGACATACAATTTTCAAGCTCTAATCATACTGTCATCGTATTGTAAGAAAATTAAAATAATTCTCTGAATTTCTTGCAATTTCAATTTTTAGGTTTTAGTATAAATCTTAAAATTGTTCTTCGCTGCCTTTATAAGCATTAACTCTTCCTTTTTTTTGCGCAGGAGGTCGAATAATCATGGCATGCAGGGATGTTGCAAAGGCAGAGCAGGCTGCTGAAGATATCCGTAAGGTTGTCAGCGAGGCTGACCCTGAAAATAAAGTCGGAGAGCTCATAATAAAAAAACTTGATCTTGGGTCAAAAGAATCCATCCGCAGCTGTGCAGATGATATAAAACAATCAGAAAAACAAATCAACATCTTAATCAATAATGCTGGTATGTATTACATTAATCTATTGAAGTGAAATTCACCACCTTTAACTGAAATGTATTCAATCCAATTATCTTTTGTTTTGTTTTTACAAAGAGTAAAAATATTATGACTTTTTTTTCCCAGGTGTGATGATACCACCGTACCAGAAGACGACAGATGGTTTTGAATTGCAGTTCGGAACCAATCATCTGGGACATTTTTACCTAACATACCTGCTACTACCAACCATCCTTGCTTCCACTCCAGCGAGAATAGTCAATGTTTCCTCAGTTGCTCATGAAAGTAAGCTCTTCGGAATTTCTTTAAATTCCAGTACGAAAACATTCCATGAGCAGGTTACAGAAAATTTAAAACAGCGTATATGACCAATACTCAATTTTCAAAGTTTTGACTCAACGCAAATTGTATCACATACCTAGGAAATGCAGCACGATGTGTGCACAGTTAAAACTTATTGTAAATGAATCTCTCTGAGTTTTCACTCATACTGAAGTTGTGGCGTACTCTCTTGTCAATCATTTTTACCTGAATGTTAGAAAAAGAAGTTAACAAAAAAAAAAACCGAACTCTTCCCATATTTTTCACACATCTTATTCATTTTTCCTAAATTTTACTCGTAACCATAAACATGAATTACTCAATGAAAGTTAAAGCTCACAGTGGATATAATTTTAGTTTATGAACGTAGAGAGAGCCCCTATATAGAATGTATTCAGCCTTAGCTTCTAAAAGCCTTGCAGGCCTCAATCTTCAATATCTGTCGGTCGGTAGCTGATCGTTGATGGACTGAATTCTACAGCGAGCAGAATTTTATTAAAAAATTATGATAAGACTGTGGAGTAGATACATTTTTTAAATTCTACGCTCAGTCTGCATTGTTGTATGCAATCACAGGCATAATTTGTCTTTGGCTTTTCCTTCAATATTGTTTCTAGCCTGTTGAAGTTAATATTATTATAGAATGGCTGACTGGACTTTTTCCCCCATACCTATATTTAGTTTAAGCTTAATCAAAAAATTAATTGTAAATCGCTAAAAAGGAACATCTTATCAGGGTTGCAAAAATTTCTTTACCTAGATCACAATTGGTCAAGTGCAAAAATGGTAATGCCGGCAGAATCGCTTGTATTTTTGCAAAACCGTCGTAAAAATCATGTGTTCACTGTACAATTACAGCAATTTGTATGTACAGAGCTGTGAAATGGCCGTCACTCTGAAATTTTTGGATAAAAAGGTTTTTAAAATGGGAAGGCAAGGAAACTTCGGCATCTCTGTGTCGGATATCTGAAGATTGACATAGCTGCTGAAAATTTAGGCTTTTAAGTAAGTTTTTAAAACCTTTTTCAACCTTACATATTAGTGTGTGAAAATTAACATGTAGCAAATGAAATTTTGTCTTTTGCCCCCTTTTTTTCAACGTAATTTACAAATGTTAATTTTTTATATTTTTCCAGGAGGGCATATGAACTGGGATGATTTAAATTCCGAGAAAAGCTATCATGCACGGACAGCATACTCACAGAGCAAATTGGCTAATGTTTTATTTTCTCGAGAATTGGCTTCACGTTTGGAAGGTACGTATCCAATTTTTTTCTCATGTCAAAGTTTTTCAGATCATCTTGGTGTGAATACCGTATTGACATGAATGATTCCATTACCTCTTTAGAACAGTTTTTAACAATGAAGTATTGTGAAAATCCTACTGAGCATGAAAAAGTGATATGAAGAAGTAGGTTTTTCTCTGAAAGAAGTCGATTCCAAGTGACAGAAAGTTTTCAATCCCATCACTAGTTACCAAACTCCTAACTGCTACAGATATGATATGATTTGAGTCTACCTGCTCTGTATAAATTTATGTTTTAAGCTAGCAAAATAATGGTGGATAATAATATATCCAGATTCATCAAGAATTGTGAATCCTCAGTCAGTAATTTGAATTTCATATAGTGTCTTGATTTTAAAACAACATTCTTCCCTCTTTTCGCTCTGCATATAAACCTCATGCATCACAACTTTTTGTTTCAAAAGCTAAATTCGGAATTGGAGTAGACGCACTTTTTCTTATCTTAGAGACTTTAGATGGGAGATCAAATGTCTCTTCCCTATTTATTCTATTTTCTTGTATTACACTGTTTGAAATAGTTATTGCTTCTTCATTTATACGTCTTTGCAACTCGTTTTCATAACTCATCATTGCCTCAGCAATCACTTTTCTAACTGTTGGCAATTGTTGGCGTTAGTACCTACACTTCTTTCATTGAGTATGCCCTTGTAAATTAAATAATAAATTTATTTTTTTCTTTTTAAAATAATGCAGGCACTGGTGTCAATGTTTACTCCCTACATCCAGGAATCATCCTAACTGAGCTTGGTCGTCATGTAGATGAAATATACTTCAAAGGATTCAGGAGAATCCTTCGACCTATGCTCAGCCCCTTCACAAAATCTATTGAAGCAGGAGCTGCGACCACTCTATATTGCGCTCTTGATGAGTCTATTGCCAATGAGTCCGGCTGCTATTACAGGTAGGCCCTCAATTTTCAAGTCCTAAAATATGACATTTCCAAGGTATCGTTTTGCCGTTTACTTTTGAACCAAGTTTTTCGATAAAAAACCTAGCATATATTCAACCAACGTTCGAGCAACATTTAAAGGAAGGAAATAAAAGAGAAGTGAGTGAAAGATGTGACATTTTCAGGTTAATTTTGTATTTCCATTGCACATTTTTATTCTATGAGATTGAAAATCGTTCCGACCTGCAGGCATTCCTCCAATACAAAGAAATTGCTTATTATTTGCAGTTTGCAATCCACGACGATATTTTTTTGTTGAAGTCAATCCATGTAGAAGTGCTCTTAATCAATGAACATAATACAAAAACGCCGTTTTTGGCATATCTCGAAACTTGCTTTTGTAACTTCCTGTGAAGGAACAAAATGCCATTGAGGAAGCTTTCTTACCTTTTGATTGAATATTTTAAATAAAATAGTTACCTTTGAGAAGTTGTTTTATTGCTGTGCAAATGAGAAGTGCACCAAAAAATTTAGAAAAATCGTTCCCTGAACATGCACTGAAACGGCAAAACTCGACATGAACTGTCAGTAACTCATCTAATCTTAAAAAGATGGTGGCAAGTAAAGGAGGAGCCACATTTTTTTAGGTGAATTTGGTGTATCACAGGGTAAGGGCTGTAGTTTAATGTGGCGAAATTTTCAATAGATTGATTTTTTTTCTTTTTTTTTCCTACTTCAAGTAGCCCACAAGGGCTAATCCTGCGCTTCAGTCCCGTCCCCCCTCCGTCCCTAACAACCAGTCCCAGGCAACCATTGTACCCACCAATATTTTTGTCAAGTTGAATTACAAAATTGGATTTGGGTTTTCTAACGGAAAAATCGCTCTGAAGTTCTCAAATGCAAGCAAGCAAATTAGTTCATTTTCATACCATCAAAGGAAAAAAATTCTTGGTATAGTCCGGAAAATTTGTACTCTGTGCATGGCTGATGAGAACTCCAATCACTTTTTTCATCTGCTTCCATTAAATCAAACTCAAACCTCTTACCTATGTATCAAAAAGTAGACGTTTTTACCTAAAAAAAATGTTTGACCTAAGTTAGTGGTTGTTTAAAAATTGTGCTCTTAAACTCCAAGAATGCATGATCAATGCTGTAATTTTGTTTCAGTGACTGTGCAAAGAAAGAAGCGGCACCTCAAGCACGCAATGATGAAGATGCTAAGAAATTGTGGGAAGTATCTTTGAAACTTCTCGGCTTGGAAGACATCAACATTAATGAAAAGCAAACAAGCTAAATGATGGATTTCTGTAAAGCGATATCATCACTTGGCCTCACTTAATTATATGATTGAATTGAGCAAGATGAGATGGGCCCTTTTTAAACTGAAACTGAGGAAAAAAGGTTTCAAATTCATCCCTCCGTAAGGCGCAATGTAAAAAGGAACTTTGTACTCTTATTTATACAAATTGAATATTTTTTCAACCTTTAACTTCTGTCAAGAGAAAATTAATGAGTAGTCGAGAACAGAAGGGGTCAGTTCCTTCCTCATAAAATCAGCCTTTTTCAAAAAGAAAAGATTTAATTAAATGAGTTACTCTTGCTTTTTTTTAATGCCTTTTTTTCTCATATTTTTGTTTGAACGATTAAAAGAAGAAGAATGTAAAGTGCCTTTAGAGTAAAGTAAGTGGTCCATTTAAGCATTTTATAGAAAGTATGCAGGCCATCAATTTTATGCGTAATTATTTCAAAATGTAGCTATTTGTAACAGGTAACTTGTACTCAGGACCTTTTAATTGACTCTTTTCTCTCTTTGATGTCCTAGTGCATAGTGATTATAGAGTTGGTATTCTAAAGCCTAATAATGATTTTGCTTATAGCATTATCTTTTCAAAGAATCCATTGTTAATGAATATCTTCTCCTTTAGAACGAAAATTAATTAATTTAGTGTCACATTGTTCCTAGAAACTCTTTGTGTTTTGTTCATCACCAATTTTATTTCTGAATGTCGCAATTATCCACTAATAAACGCTCAAATATTTGAAAAATAATTAGGATACTATAATTATTAGCAATACGAACCATCTGTGATCCATAAGAGCTGAAACAGAAGCTTTAGATTTCATATAAATATTATCTTTAAGTTGTCATATTATACTCACGTTATCTTAATACTTGTGTAATCGTGATTTTAATACTCATGTTATTCTATTACATAAAGTTTTTATATTAAATCTGTTTTAAGTCTATTTTTTTTTTTAATTTGATTTGATGATAGTACAATAAAATTTTATTACAGCTAACTATGGTGTAGACAAAATTTTCTTTACTCAAAATTTTTTTAGTCTCTTGAAGTTCCCAGAAAAATTAATTTAAAAAATACTGATAAAAATTTCCGGGAATCTTGTTCGACTGACAAGTCACTTGAGTCAAAGAAAAGTTTTCAGATATTAATTTCACAAAAGGAAAAAAGCAAGAGAATGGACCCCTAGACAAGGTACGAATTTCAGCATTCTGATACATACTTCTTAACCAAAATTTCACGTAGAACACGATGCGCACAACGAAAATTGCCAAAATTAACTCCATACGAAGATATTTGATGATTCTTGATGCGTGAATTCAAACCACCCGCTCATGAAAACTCAATGCTCTACGTGATTCACATCGCGCGCTAAATAATTATCATGACAGTCTCTGCGATATAAAAATCTGGCAACCTCAATCTTGACGCTTCGACTCAGCTATAGCAAATTGCTTATTGTTTGAAAAACACGTGGTGAGAAATGAACATTGCTCGCTTGAGAAGCTTGCTGAAACTTTTGTAGTGCGCGATTTGACTCACGTAGAGCTTTGAGTTTCCTGTGAGCGGGCAGTTCAAATTCCTCGTAACCAATGTAAAATTAAAATGTTAATATCACCGTAAGGAGTTGGTTTCAGTAATTTTAGTTGCGCGAATCGTGCTCTACGTGTAATTCTGGTTAAGAAACATGTATCAGAATGCTTAAATTCGTACCTTGTCTAGTGGTCCATTGTTCTTTCAAGAGAATGGTACAGGCCATATTACAGAACGAACATTGCTGTACAATTGAAAGGAATGGAATATATTAAGCTGACAACAAATCATTATGATACCATTTTTGTAGAGATTATATTTTTAAATTCAGTTCGTAACCTCATTCATAAACACAGTATCATGAAATCAACAAAATAGTAAAAACCACTAAGTTCAGTCGATAAAAATATACATTACATTGCTTAAATAGAAAACTATCCCTTCAGAATAATCTAGACTACAAGAAAAACATATTTTGTGATCACAGTACATTCAAATGTTCAAGTTCAGAAATGACTTATACATACAACTATTTCATGCAATTGGATAAACTTTCAAGATACGGTCAAATAAGTTTACCAACCATTCGAGTGAGAGAAAAAAGCTGCCATCTCATCTCTTATAAATAGTTCTAAAATGCAAATATAAAAACGGCCGATCTTCTAGGAACTTAATAGGCCCACCATCTGTTTTAACCTGATCTTTAAAAATGGGAAAAGCGATAATTTTCATAATTTGTACATGATTGATAAAAGAATGACAGTAAGTAAATTTTTCTTAACTGGAGGATGGAAGACTGAGCAACTTTTTCAGCACTAGTATATAATGGCTTTATTACAAGATTAGCATTTCGTATATGACTTTGAATGAGGGATAAACATGTTTCCTAGTTTTGCTCTCCTCTCAAAATTCCTAGAGAAAAAGAAGAAAAAAAACACATTGACTGAATTAGGGGTGTCCTATTGATTTCCGTTGAGCAATTGAATTAGTTTTGACAAAAAGTAAAGATGATAAGATGACCTTCACCAATAGCTATCTGAGTTTTTGAAGATAGCGAAAATGTGTAATACATATACATGCGTTTTAGAGGCCAAGCAACCCAATACAAAGACTTGTGAGGCATGCACGCTTTAACTCAGAGCTCATGCAGTTCCTATACTGCTAGCAATAGCGCCTCATTATAAGGTATCAGCATTTAGAAACAAACTGTGCTGACCGTTTACTGACAAGGATTTAGTTTTAACACCCCTAAGCTAAATTCCTTGTGTTTGCACATGAGAGTGTCAACTTTCCGTTCAACTAAGAATCAAAAATCTGGAATTCAGTTTAAAACTTCCAATCTCTAATTCTTTAATTTACATTTGAAGGATGAGAGATTTGATGAGAAAATTTCATTCTTTAGAGACACCTCTCATTAAATATTCAAATGATTGATATTTTCCCCCAATATTCCTCATTTTTCCACTTCTGACCTCTTTTTGGTTCAGAAACGGCAATAACTCTCTGAAAACGACGTTTCGGATTTCAAGAAAAGCAAGGATCTTTCTTTCATCAGAACTAGACACACACTATCTCCCTCCTTTTTTTGCAGTACCGTCATTAAGTTTTCATCGGAATTTATCTGTGTAAAAAAGGTCGGTCAAAATAATGAAATTCTGTTTCACCGAGTTAAAAAAAATAGGTTTAATATGATCATCTGATCTGACTATTAACATCCACAACTGTTTTGGAACAGCCAAAATACTATTTTTAAGGACTTGAACAAGCCTGGAAATATTTGAGGAGATTGATTTGCCGCGAATCGTTTGAATTTTTCCTTCTTCGTCCTTTAAGACTTTGAATACTTTTTGGGGTTGTTTTCTGATTTGAAGATACTTTTGATAGTGATGGTTGCGAGTTAAAATGTTGTTCCTTACGAGCTGTACTAGGGCGTTCTGGGGTGACTAGGTTTAGATTTAAAGTATTCACGGCAGGTGTTAAAGATGAAGAACTGGAGGCATTAGCTATTATTTTCGGAGACTCCATTGTATTCTTAGAGCTGTTTTCAGAATCTGACAAATGACATTCGCTTGTTTTTCTCTCTTTTCCTGACAATTTACTTGCAGACTTTTTGACGATGCTCTTGGGAGTTTTTGGACCATTCTTGCCATTCGATATCTTCAATTTTTTTGGTTTTTTGTCATTTTGACTTGTTAAGGATGGCCTATTGAGCTTGTTCAAAGTAATTTCTGTAAGCCAGTTTTGTTTGGGCGCTGCAGTTCTAGGTTTTACTTCTCTACAGAAGAAATGACTTTTATCATACAGTAAATTTGGAAGACATTCTGTAAAAGATATTTTGCTCTCTGGATCTGTAACAGAAAAAAATAATCCTTTTTAAAAAAAATTAACAAACAAAAGAACAGCATTTCTTTACTGCTGTGAGACAGGACTGGGATGAAAAAGGAAAGTTTTGTAAAAACTGACTAAGATGAGCCAAATTTTATGTTAAATTTTGTCTTTTTTTTTTCTAAAATTATCCATGATTCTAGTGTATCCATTCATTTTTTGTTTAGGTATTGATTTAGAAAATAATTGTATGTACATAGGCTGTCCCAAAACAACTGAGAGTAAGTCTGTATTTCAGAAACAATAATAGATATTGAAACGCGGTTTGTGGAAGGTTGTAGCTCATATCCTTAGCTATCCAACAAGCCCAAGATTTGCTATTTTGGTCAAAATTTTGCTGAGTTACAGCAATTTTTTGGAGTCGTGTAAAATAGAACCCTACAGGATTTTTGAGTATTTTTTTCCTTGTCTGAACTGTTGTTCCGAGATCGCAACTTTGCGGATCACGTTGGCACTGGTCTAGATGCAAGTTCTAACATGTTTGCATGTGCTTTCATTACATATCAGAGTTTTCTTCAACTTCCCAGCTCAGTGAAGCCAACATTGTCTAGCGTTAATGACACGTGTTCTCGTTTGGTGCAATGAGTTCGCCCGCGGAGCTGAAACAAGAGCAACGCAATGTCATCCGTTACTGTGTTTACCAAGGTTTAACTGTCTCTGATACCATGAAAGAGATGTTAGTTGCTTATGGAGAAAATCGACTTGGGGAGAGCACCATTTATCGGAGGCATGCAGCTTTTTCCGAGGGTCGCGAGGCGGCGGCTTTGATTCCGTATGGCAGCCGGCCGTCAACTTCTGCGGCGGAGGAAGAAAGTGTGATTAACGCTGGACAATGTTGGCTTCCCTGAGCTGGGAAGTTGAAGAAAACTCTGGTATGCAATGAAAGCACATGCAAACATGTTAGAACTTGCATCTAGACCAGTGCCAACGTGATCCGCAAAGTTGCGATCTCGGAACAACAGTTCAGACAAGGAAAAAAATACTCAAAAATCCTGTACGGTTCTATTTTACACGGCTCCAAAAAATTGCTGTAACTCAGCGAAATTTTGACCAAAATAGCAAATCTTGGGCTCGTTGGATAGCTAAGGATATGAGCTACAACCTCCCTCAAACCGCGTTTCAATATCTATTATTGTCCCTGAAATACAGACTTACTCTCAGTTGTTTTGGGACAGCCTATGTATAATTTTCCCTTCATCAATTTATATGAGAAAAATCCATGCAGGGTGTGCAAAAATCTCAAAATCATGAGTTGATAAATGCTGACTCGGCGAGTTTAAATGTTGGAGCCTAACACAGAGCGGAGCGGCGTGCTATGGGCACGAGACGCGCACTGGCGCCTACAAACCTAAGGGGATACTTCACGCATTGCGTAATGTTTGAAGTATCTCTTTAGGTTTGGAGGCGCCAGTGCGCGTTACGCCGGTTACGCGCAGGTCGGCCGCCTTCTGCGTCACGGCCTCCCAAGCAACTATTCACAACACGTAATTCACGAATGTAAGTCTTTCGATATGCACCATTCCCCTCCCATCAAGAAAAAAAAATCGCAGAAAAATTACTGCTTTCTAATGCAATACTCATGGGATTTCAAAGAACGGGAATGAAAACAGTAAAGAATTAGCGAAGAGGGAACAAAATTAAGAAATATCAGGAACGTTGGTAGAAGAATAAGAAAGGAAAACATGATCTTATTGGAAACAAATTGAGCAATATTTTGAGAGAAGTAAGCACCATCATAATCATGTATTCAAAACTTCGCGTTCAAAACGGAGAAAAATCAATTATGTCTTGCGATTTGAGTTTTATCTTCTTGTTCTGCTCTATTAAGTTGAGAAGATCACAATGTGAAAGTTGGCAACACATTATTTTGATTACTTTCAATGATTGCGAATGCAAGGGTAAACTGTAGAAAAGACTTCGAGTGAAAGCGTTCATCAAAATGAAAATTGAATGTCGAAAGTGGTTCTATGGTTCGCCTTTGGAGCACTAAAAAACTTATAGTCACGCATTTTT